ATAGCCCTTGAGCCAGAGCCCAAAAATTGAACTCATCACAGGCAAAGGTTTGATTGTAAATTACGAAAGCGTTTGTTATTCTGAGTAAAAAGAACCTTTTCTGTCTTTCTAAACGACGTCTGTTATTCTAGAGCAGCTTCCTTCAAATATGGCGGCTGATTTAAAGAATATTAGGCCAGTAACTTGATGATGGAAATGGAAAATCCATTACGAAAAAAATAAAAAAAGTTATTATTTTTTTAACTTGTATGTATTAGTTTAGACATTCAATAAAACATATTGCTAACCGAGGTCACCAAGAAAAACATTTTACAGCCAAAAAAATCAGATCCTTTCCATATTTTTTTGTACAAACAAAGGTGTTAGGCTAAATAAAATATTCATACTATTGTAAATTGTAACTTTGGAATTCTTTTTCTCAAAATTATAGTAAATGCAGTAGAACCACTAAGAACCACTTCAAACCAAGGTCACGAATAGTTAAGGAGGCTTTTGAAACAAAACAACTTCTTTTGGACTTTGTTATAGGAAAAAACCCATCCATAAAAATTGGTTTTTAGTAAATTTTTTTTTTTTGAAATGTTAGAAAAATTGAATACAAACATCAGATTCAGCGATCGATGAGCAAATGCTACTTAACACACTTGGTGCACGGTACTCAAATTATCATTTGCTCATTTCTATTATCACTGAAAATGTCGCCCTCAAGATTAACTACTATCCACGTAAATTTTATGTATTTTACCATTGTAGTATTAAATTAATTTCTCGATCTTCCCAACCTATTTAGAAAAGTTTGATAACTTGCAGTCACCTGGTATGTCTGAAATGGCCTGTTAAAAAAAAAAAATTACAATTCAAATTAGAGTAGTAATTGAAAGCTTTGTGATACAAGCACCGCACCAGCTTTATTTAAACAAAAAATCATAATATAAATTACATGGAAGTAGTTTATCTTTCCGTTGAATAATGAGTATGTATTAATTAATTATTGACAAAATATTCCTTCTTTAATTTCTTGAATGAGAGCATGTGGCTTAAGCATTCTCGCTCAATCTACACTGCGTTTAGCCCCCAGTGACGCGATTGAGAGAGTAGTGCAGGGATCTTCTGGAGTCATGGTTTTCTCATAGTTGGAGGGACAAGTCCGGTTGGGAGTTCTCTCGCCTGATTGTAAATAGTGCATATAGATATTTATGTGTTCTTTTTTATTTATTTATTTTTAGGTTATTTTATTTTTATTTATTGTACATAGTGTGTGAATGTGATCTATGAACACTGAACATTATCATAAGTGTCCTTTGAAACAGATTGTAATATTTTTCTATAAACAAGTTAATAAAAAAGAAAAAAACTCTTGTAAAATAAATTGTTGTTTGAATCAAAAGAATTTTTTCTAATTTTATTTTAATATTTTAATGTGTATATTGTTTTACATATGTGTTTTCTTCTTCTTTTTTTTTTTTTCAATTTATATTTTAAATTGTGCATAAAATGTATAAATGTAAACAAAGAGCCATAATGCTCATTGCCCAAGATTGTGGCAGATTGTATTATTTTTCTTCAATAAAAATCCTTTTTTAAGTTATAAGACTTTACTTTGGGTCTTGAACTATACGGGGTATCATTAGATATTTTGCTGCGCATACATTAGACCGTCCATAAAGTTATCATTGGTTTTCATTGATGGAAATATTGCCGCCTCTTTATTCATTGATTAAATCTTCAATGACGATAACAAATTACGATATTGTATACAGTTTTGCAGTTTACTAGAAGAAAGCTGGCAGTGAAGGACATTGTCCAGGAAGCCCTCCTGAACTGGAGAAGGGATGGGACAGGTGGCTGGAGCTGGAGAAACGATGATATACCGCTCCTTGTCTTCTCTCCTCTTCCACGAGGCAGTGAAAAACCCAACTCGAACGTGACTTAGTTCTCATTAGAATCCTGAAGGTAAAGTACTTTATCTCTTCTACAATAAAGTATAGGTCGTTTTAACTCGCTTATTCGATGAATATGTTTCCACCATTTTCAATAAATCTGTGTTATCGTTACCAATCATAATTCTGCTACTTGAGTCATTTGTAGGTAACGTGGTGAATATAAAATTCTAAAACAAGTCAAAAGATTTTCCAATTATATATATAAAACTAGAGAATATATAAAACTAGATAGGCGAAGAATAGAGGTGATTAGCATGCTATAGTCAAGGAAGCCAAGGCCCACACCGGGCTGTACAGCTGCATAATAACTATATATAATAATAATAATAAGGCTTAGCGAACCCGAAGGTTTAATTCCGACACCACCAATCGCTTATTACACACATCTCTCAACCGTTAGCTTCCAAACCCAATACCTTCAGATTGGCTTTAACGCAATCTTCCCACCTTCGCTTCAATCTATCCCTCGGACGTTTACCATTCGATACAGCAAATATTAACCTTTTATCAGCTTCGTGCGGGCACATTAACGCGTATGGATATCACGGTTGGTGGATGTGGGGTTGGTCGGTGGAAATTCCTTGGTTCTGTGTGAATATCTATTATTTTTAAGGTAGTGGACAAAGATATAGTGAATATTACTACACTATATTAATTACTATAGTAATGATAATAAGGCTTAGCTAACCCAAAGGTTCGATGCCGATACCCCCATTCCAATATTTGATCAACCTTAACGCAATCTTCACATATTAGCTTTGGTCTACCCCTCGTATTCTTGCCAGTCCGGTACAGCGCATATTATTTTTTTAGGAATTTTTTCATTACTGAGCCCACCGATTTTACTTGCCCTCTTTATTCGCCTCATCTTAATCATCTCAATTACATTAATCGGATACAGTTCACGCAAATCAGTGTTGTGTAACCTCCTAAATTCTATGGTTGACTCGTCCTTTCTCGGTCCGAATATTCTGTGCAATACATTATTTTAAGAAAACTTAAAGAGGCTGCTTATTCCTTAATGTATGCGGCCACAATTTGCATCCACAAAGAGCCGCAGAAGGGATAATGGTTTTATAGATGCTAGTTTTTAAGTTTCGGGAGGCAAGAACTAAGTAGTTTTGACAAAGAAAAATAATTATTCCCGCCTTTTACTTAACCTTAATATCCACTTAAATTTCGTTTTTTCTTGTTGTCATAGATACCTAAAATACTGTACTTATTTAAACACATTTCCTTATACATCGATATCATCGAAATTGTCGCTATTTTTTCAGCTAACCATATAGTTTGTCTTATCCGTATTTATCTCGAGCCCTAGTTCTTTACCGCCTTTGTTGTTTAGTTTTATTTTTGCCATGTCTTCCCTGAACAGTACCAAATCATAATTATAACTACTATATTAATAACAATTATGATGTAAAATTAACATTAGCAGAGAAAAGTGCGATAACAAGCGTACAGAGAGGCATAGAGAAGGCAAACAGCCGCTCTTTCCGTTCTCAATGAAGAGGGCAAACAAAGCTGGTGCAAATACGGTGCATGTTTGATTCCCGGATATTCTCCATTCCCTTAATTAAAGTTTGCTCAAAGTCGGCTCCGCATAATTTTATTGCTTTTTATTGCGTCTGTTCTCATATTATTATGACAGATAAAAATCCCTTTGGTATGATTTACAATTTATTTTATAATAAATTGACAAAGTAATGTTTATCTCAGCTGTAGTGATACAAACTCAATATTAAAATAAAATGAGAACAAAGAAAATACAAACTAATTATTAAACTCCTACCATGATTAATTTTAATTTGATTTTTTCAACAGCAGGTGGTGCTGTGCGCGAATTACACAACTTTCACTTATCAGCCTACTTCGAATTTAACTTATTACTTTCACATTTTTTTTTCTCCTTTTACTCTATACGGCGATTTTCCTGGGCCAGAGGATGAGGGTAGGGGATTAATGTCAGAGTTAAAAGTCCCTCTACCTATCCGGCACCGGGACGCGAACTCATAGTTATTGTCTTTAACTTAAGTTATCAGGTTGCCAGACAGGTGAATCCTAAAAAAAAAAAAGAATAATTTTGAATATTTAATAGTTGACTGTTGCATTATAAAGGAAGGAGATGGTCCGGGGTGGCGGTCATAAATAGGCTAAATAGTGGCAAAACTATTTTATTAAAAGCCAACGTTTCGACCCGACTTTGCAAGTCTTCTTCAGGGCTAGAACGGACAAGATACAAAAAATATAGAGAATGGTGTAAGTTAAATAATATTTAGAAAAAAAAATTATAAACAATGCGAATACGCTTATTAAAATCATAAACAGCAAGTACATTAAAATATAAACGGATCATTGTTGGTCAAAAGGAGGATGTTGCTCTAGATGATAAATTCTAGAACATAAATTAGAAAATTGACGATGGAGCACATTATTATTATTATTAAATTTAAGCCTTGCATCCACAAGAGTATTGGAAGTGCAGTTCTGAAGATGGGAATAAATGTCCCGAAACGTCAACTAACCTGTTAACATGTAACGTTGATAGTAAAATGTACTTAATTGTTAACAACTGGAAGTTATTACTGCCAAACAACTAAATTAAATTGACAACTTCCCAGAAAAAAAAGAAAAAAAAAAGTAAATAAATGATGTTTTCTCCATGTTAAAAAAAAAAAAAACCATTCCAGTCACATAGATCGATGGATTCTTAATAAATCAAATAAATAAAACCATTCGGGTAGTTTTCGATAATGAACGACTTATATTTAAGTGTGTTAAAGTAAAAAGATAAATAAACATATGGTGGTTGAGTTTAATCGATAACGAGCTTTGGCGAATTAGATTGATTAAGGTTAGAGAAGATAGTTCGTGTTATTGTTTTTGTTGTTATTGATGGTTGACGGGATATTGTTGACGTTTTCAACTCAAATGAGATGTGAGATTCAGGGCCAACATTCATCTTAAGAATAACTTTAACTTTCAAAGAGTAAATCAAGAGTTTCGAGTTGGATATTATCTTTATAAATTCCGACCAAATGGATTTACTTACAACTGATGATCCTCTGCTTCATCGTGATGATGAACGTTCTCCCGGGCGTCGCCATTAACAGCTACCTCATGGACCCGATGAGGATGATGATAACGCATCGGGCGGTGCAGAAGTTTTTAGAATTCAAGCATAACGTTGTAAGTATTGTAAGAGTAGTTGCATCATCGTATTAGTTAATTTAGTAGTAATAATAAACAAATGATATTTCAAAATGATCAGAGTAACAACACTTCAAATTCTTCCAAGTACATATATAGTGTTCCCATCCGCATTGGTGTTACCGCTTCAACAGTGACCATCAGTCACAGCTCGGTGACTGAGCCCTATAGAGGTCCTTTTTGTAGCCTTAAGGTACTCTGGCTGCGTACTTACCAGAGTGGGAAAGTCAAGATCCATTTTCCGAGGACGCCTAGAAATGAAAAGTAACTGACCCAAGTGGGAATCGAACCCACAACGTTCAGAACCAGGTACCCTGGGACCACGCATCAATTTGCTAGCCCATTCCGTCCTCGAGGATAATACAAATATAATAATAGAATATTTATGTGAAATAGGATTAGCATATTTTGAATATTATTTATTAATCATATTATTTAATTATTATTGGTACTAGGTACCTTGTAGATTTTTAGTCACCTTAACAAGCCTGCTCCATCTCTGCCTGTCTTGGGCTATTTCTTTCCATTTATCTGCACGCAGCTTTGTTGCATCTTTGTTGTTTCTGTCTATCCATCTGATTTTTGGCCTTCCGCCTGGTATTTTGCCTTCTTTTGAGGCATTCGTTGTTACGTAGAGGCTTCCAGATGGATTGTTGCAAGCTACATGCCCCGCCAATCTTAATCTCCGTGCCTTCATATCATGGGATATTGATTGACTAGTTTCTGTAAGTAATTCTTTATTGGTCTTTCTTAATCATCTGTTAGTACTCTGATCTCAGATCGCTCCGGTTAGCGTGCGGAGGATTTTTCTCTTAAATCTTTTAACACTTTTTTCTAGGGTGCTGGTTAGTGTCCGGGTCTCACAGCCGTATACATTAGAAGTGGCTTCATCATAGTATTGTACAACCTTAATGCCAGATTTCTTGAGATTTTTCGGGATCTCAACACCTTTAAGAGGGAGAAGAAAGCTATGTTTGTACTAGTTAATTTATATCTTAATTAATTTTCGGTACTAAATTACAAGTGTTGCTCCCTTTTAATGAGTGGGAACAAGATCTCATGATCACACTATAAATGTAATCTCGATGATGGCCGAGCATGTCCGAAAGTAAACTGAGGTGCACGAACCGTCTCATAAGGTCCTGATTTCAACTGAAAAGAACCTAGAGGAGGGAAAAAGTGGTTGTTCGTCCATTTTTAGTGAGTGTCGCTCCAACGGGAACCACACTCTTCGAGCCCTGGTCATTATCCAAGTCGTTCCAGTCATCCGAATCAACTTCTTCCAGCGGGATGCTTGTTTCTTTCAACACTAGGAAAAGGTGATGAGTAACCACCTTGTTCTCCTTTGGTTTCTCAAGGATAATTTTTAAGAAGAAAATCTGATCTCTATATAAATAAGAAAACAAATCTTTTCTACTACTTTTGGTGTTAGCCCTTTTTTCATGTATATTTCGCCTGGAATATAATTAAACTAATTAAGAATATTGTTGTTAGGAACACCTGTGGTCACGGACAACAACTCCAAAGTTTGCAGCACAGATTTACAGGCTATCACAACTTCGAAACTCGCCTCTTAAGGTTTATGTAAGCTTATTTTATTGTTAAATATATCTTTATTTATGTATATTTGTCAGTGGGAGCCGGAGACGTTCCTACGCCTCCCAACTCTACGCTGAGTTAGGGTGGCTCTTCCCTTCCTTACGTAGACAATTCTACCTAAGCACATTCTTCTATCAGATTATCAACAGTCCTCTGTCCTTCCTCTTATCACAAGATCCCGACCTTCTGACGTTTATACCCCTTTTCACAGGCTGATTCTTTCTAAAATTCCTTCCTTGCACACTCCGCTACTTACTGTAATTCCTTCCCATTAAAAATCCGGCTAGTCCCCTCTCTATCTACCTTTAAAACACCCCCATTCCAATTCTTACTGACGGAACAGTGAGAAACTGGCTAACCATATATCAAGTAACAGTATCTTGATTAAATAAAATGTTATGTACATATATACGTTTGTGTATATATATTTTTTTTTCTCTGCCTTCTCCACCTCTGCCTATCTTGGGCTAATGCTTTCCAGTTTGCTGCATGAAGCTCAGCCGTATCTTTGTTTATCCTATCTATCCATCTGGTTTTTGGCCTCCCACGTGGTCTCTTGCCTACTACTCTGGCATTCATTGTCGTGTAAAGGCGGCCTGATGGATTGCTACGAACTACGTTCCCCATCCATTTTAATTTCCTTGCCTTCATGTCATGCGATATTGACTGACCGTTTCTTTCAGAAGTTATTTATTGTTCCTTCTCCTCCATATGTCAAGGTTCTGGTCCCATATAGGTCCTGTTATCCTACGTAGAACTTTTCTTTCGAATCTCTCAATTCTGGCTTCTAGTGTGCCGGTTAGAGCCCAGAATTCACAACCGTACAGCAGAACTGGCTTGATCACGGCGGTGTACACCCTTATTTTGAGATTTCTGGAGATTTTTCTTGATTTCAGTACCCTAGAAAGAGAGAAGAAAGATCTGTTCGCACTTGTTATTCGCTGGTCTATTTCTGTTAATTTATCATTTATTGAGGTTATTGTGGAGCCGAGGTATTTGAATCTGTCTACTTTCGGGAATGAGCCAGCGCAGATCATGTTATTAGGGTGGATCTAGGATATAGATAGGATACAATATATATATATATATATATATATATATATATATATATATATTTTTTTTTTTTTTCTTCTGCTGAGGAAGTAGCATATATTTGTATTTTTCATGCCATTGCGGTTCTGTTCTAGAAGAATTTTTGCTCTTAAAATTCATTTATTTGTGTTTTTCTTCTTATTATTTCTATGTTTAGCTGGTGCTCATCTATCAGAGGAGTATATTTTTCATCTATTGTTTTCTTTCCTATCATTTTTCAGCAATTATTTTGTTCCATTTCTTATTAGTATTGTATGTAATTCTAAATATTTTGTTAATAGTTTCACTGTTTCATTTTGAATAAAATATTAGTATAATTATGTATAGTGGTTCCTTAAGGGACTTCTTTTCAGAATAAAGTTATTTTTTTATTTCTATGTATGTAAACATGTTTGTTTATTATTGTGTTGTAACTATAGCGACCGGAACCTCTAAGAAGAATACCAAACTTCACCGAAGAAGTGTACCCAAAACGACTGATACTTGTAACTACTCCAAAAAAGGTCAGTTAAAAATGGTATGTAATTTAACTTGTTTAATAAAATGTAAATTTATTAATTAATCATTTATAATTTATTGTAATGTAAATATTTATTTTCATAGTTCGCCATGGCTGTTCCTTGTAACATCCGCTCAATAAAAATCTAATTAAAACTTTCGGCTTTCGCTTTGCGGGCTTTCTTTTTTTTTTTTTTTAAACTTTTATTATGATATTTACAACTGTATTAGTATGAATACATCTAGTAAATTTGTACAGAGAAATATTATTACATGAAACACGTTGTTGAGAAACTACCCACTGGTAGCACTCTAATAATTTGTCTACATGAGAAGATCACGAGGCCATCTTCTTTTCAGACGCCTCGGAGGGTTATCAGGAATCGAAGAGGAAGCAAGGTTAGAAACAAGAGGATTCGGATGGTTATGAAGTTTATTATGGAAGGATAGGTATCTGGATTTGGCCAAATCGGAAACATATGGAACATTGAGGTCTTTATGGATTATTTTATTAGTGACAAAGTAAGGAGCATTGAGGATTTTACGAAGGATTTTGGATTGTAAGGATTGGATGCGAGAGGAATTCGATGGTTTAGTGGAGCCCCATAGCTCAACTCCGTAAGTCCAAATAGGTCTTATTATAGTCAAGTATATGAGTCTTTTGTAATTAAGGGGAAGTTTAGAGCGTTTGTCAAGTAAGTGTTGGAGTAGTCGGAAACGTCGAGCGGTTTCTTGTCGTTTCAGTCTGGTATGAGGATTACAAGTTAGACGTTTGTCCAAATGAAGTCCAAGGTATTGGATTTGTTCAACAGGGATACGGGCTTTCTAAAACTATTTCCGTTTCACTTTTTCTTTCCTAGTATTAGGATAAATGAATATTTTAAAAATGTCTTACGATAACAGTTTCGATGGAATCTTTTTCATAAATAAAAAATCGTATGAACAATGAACCAATTTTCGGCAGAAAAGTAGGAAATCGTGCTTTTTGTTGAATAGGTAGCGATAATTAATTTAAGAAATTAGCTTTTGCTTCACTGTAAACTATATAAAATTTACATTAAAGGAAGATATACTTTATCATTGTTAAAACAATTTAAATATGAATTGTGAGCAGCTTAACTAAGGTAAGTTCTGTTCTAAACAAAGTCATACATTATTATTAATTTTTATTGAACAGTAAACAATCTGCCGTATTGAAGGGAAACAAGTAACATGACTAAATGTGCCCATTCATACCATTTACATTATACATATAATAGGGAAATAAAAAATAAATGAGTAAACTAAGAAGAAGTAAATATAAAAATAGAATAACATACACAAATAAAGCGAAATAAGAAATAAATCAACAAGTAAAAATAAAAAAATCATCTTAACACATTCATTCCTATGTACAATAAGATATATTATTAGGGATTTTTTCCCAACTATATACTCCAGATACTCCATTTCTAGAAAAACTTCCAGTTTTAATTAGCTTTAAGTTGATATTAATAAAGTGGAGGGTTACTAGGAAAATATTTGAGGTTCACCTCAACACAAACATTATGTGATTTTTTTATCCTGTCCCGTAAAAGTACCCGTTTCTTTAAAGCAAAAATAACAACAATTAATTGTTGCAAACCTTTTATTTTATGTTTTTTTCATGATCTTGGATACATTATAACAAACATAATTTCTTAAAAAATTAAAACTATGTACTTGCTATTCACACTATTTATAATTGTATTCACATTGTTTATATTTTTTTTTTCGTCGTAAACCAAAGACTTCCTGTCCTTCAGTATCCTCTAACATCTCACTTATTCCTGTTGAACAAATCCGTTACCTAGGACTCCATCTGGACAAACGTATAACTTGAAACTGGAATCCTCATACCAGACTGAAACGACAAGAAACAGCTCGACGTTTCCGACTACTTCAACACTTACTAGACAAACGCTCTAACCTCCCAATTAATTATAAAAGACCCATTTATATGACTATAATAAGGCCTATTTGGACTTACGGAGTTGAGCTGTGGGGCTCCACCAAACCTTCAAATTCCTCTCACATCCAATCGTTACAATCCAAAATCCTTCGTGAAATCCTCAATGCTCCTTACTTTGTTACAAATAAAATCATCCATAATGACCTTAATGCTCCTTATGTATCAGATTTGGCCCAATCCAGATATCTGTCCTTCCATAATAAACTTCATAACCATCCCAACCCTCTTGTTTCTAACCTTGCTTCCTCTTCAATTCCTGATAACCCGCTGAGGCGTCTGACAAGAAGATGGCCACGTGATCTCCTAATATAGACATATTATTAGAGTGCTACCAGTTTCTCAATATGTGTTTCATGTCATTATATCCATGTGCAAATTTACTTTTTGCAGATTTACCAGATTTATTTTTTGTAAACAGTTGTAAATATCATATAAATAAATAACTTTATATTTTTTATCTAAATATTATGTAACTTCCATATTTTTGTATATCCTTTTGTATCTTGTCGGTTCTTGCCCTGCAGAATACCTACAAAGTCGGGTCGAAACGTTGGATTGAAATAAAATAGTTTTTTTTATGACCTATACCCCAGATCATCTTCTTCCTCTAAAATATATAACGGCCAACCATCACGGATTCAATATAAATAAAATGTTTCTGATGGGAAGATCATTTTACGAAACGTCGAACAAAACAAATAATAAGCTATGAAGAATCATAAAGGAGTTATATTTTTTAACTCGACCAATGATTATTATTTGATGAGAAGGAGTTAATCGGGTGGTGCGTTCAAATAAATACTAAATTAAAATGTAGTAATTATTTTAATTTTTGCCGAAGTTTCGACCCACTTTGTAGGTCGTCTTCAGGGCTACAAAAGATACAAAACTTGTTGAAAATAAATATAAGTAGATATAAAATAAGAAGAAGTTGTCAGATACAGAAAAAAAGATGATATCAGAGATATAGTGGGTGACAATGTAGTTAAATATTAAGTATTATATATGTAGAAGATATAAACAATTGGAAAATAAGTATGAATAAAAATAAAAATAAAGGAGAATATAGTATGTAAGTTAAAAGTAAGCAGATTGCGATAAAAGAAAAGGAATAAGTGTATAATAAACTAATAGAGATTACATTAGATAACTGTGGGTTAACAGATAAAGAAAATTAAAAGTTAACGAATAAATAGATTGAAAATTGAATAAGTATTGTTACAGTAAAGTTAAAATAAGAATAAGATAACATAATAATAAGATATCAGTGGATAACAAGCAAGTGGAGGTTACTTTAATTGTAAGTAAACAGATAACGGGACTAAAGGTTAAGAAGTGAAGAAATTGAAAGATTAATAGGATAACATTAGTGTAATATCATTAGGACAGATTATTAAGTATAAATAACTCTATAAGAAAACAATAATTTTAAAAGAGAACTTTAAAACGTTAGAATAAATGTAAAACAAGGTTATGATGATAAAGAAACAAAAAACAAGTTGTACTATATACAGATGACAATTGCCATTCAGTTTTTTGAAAGCGTTAATGGAATAGTAGGCTGCATGAATATAATAATAAGGTGTATAGTTGAAGGATAGGTGTGTTAAGTTAAACGCATCCCCCAATTAACTCCTTCTCATATTATATCAACGGTCAACCATCTCTACATCATTAATAATTATTATTCTTTGATCAACCATTTTGATGTTGGTTTCTTCTTTATTCCCCACGAAATAGACAAAGCTGCCTATAGTCCAAACTATACTGATTCCCCCGGACCTCATGAAAGAGCACAGTACCCCCAAATTCGGCCCTTGTAATTAGCACTCTTATAATTTGGAGAGTATTATTAAGACCACGTGGTAGGGTCCAGACGAAGGTTGCAGAGGGGGTTGGACCCCTTTGTCCGGGCAGGAAGCCTATAATCATATTCCAACGACCCTTTTATTTCGTCCTCGGTCCCCCTCCATGCTCTTATTTCGGCTCAATAAGAACTGTCCATTTCCAAGGCAGCTTGTCATTATCCAACATTGATAGTGGCTCCAAGAATGGAGTCTGCAGCCTGCTCTGTAGTCAACTCATCTCCGGGATCAAGATACATTGATCACGGTATAGCTAACACTGACTGAATGTTGACAAATTACACAGATCTACATTTTTTATAAAAAGTCGTCTTATTTCCTTTAAGTAATAATTATATTTATTTTTACTGATCACCCACACCATGCTTCTCTTCGATTATTCATTACAGTCAACGTGGTACGCCGTAATTAGAGGAAATTTTTATGAGTGACAGAAGAACTTCAAGTGCTAAAAAAAGTTCATGTAAACAAGTGTCCAACCTTTTTTTTTTCTTTTTTTTTATTTTAATGAAATTTACAACTGTATTACATAGAAAATACAATAAGTAAATGTGACATTGATAACATGACATGTACAACATGAAGAGAAACTACTCATTGGCAGAACTGAAATTAAAGTTCTATATTAGAAGGTCCCGAGAACATCTTCTTTTCAGACGCCTCGGAGAGTTATCAGGGATCGAGGAGGAAGCAAGGTTTGAAACGAGAGGATTCGGATAGTTATGCAGTTTGTTATGGAAGGATAGGTATCTGGATTGGGCCAAATCGGAAACATATGGAACATTAAGGTCTTTATGGATGATTTTATTTGTGACAAAGTAAGGAGCGTTGAGATTTTACGAAGGATTTTGGATTGTAAGGATTGGATACGTGAGGAATTCGATGGTTTAGTGGAGCCCCAAAGCTCAATTCCGTAAGTCTGAATAGGTCTTATTATTGTCATATATATGAGTTAAGCTGAAAACTATAAAATCCAAGTTTTGTTTTTTTTAAGTATGTTTTTTCTTTATTTATAAGTATACATATTCGTGTAGCACTGTAGCTCAATCTCCACTGACTTTAGCATCAGCGGCGCGTTTGAGAGAGTAGCACAGGGATCTCTGGAGCCCTGCTCTTTCCTTCATAGATGGAGGAACAAGAAGTCTGGTTCGGAGTTCACTTTTCTGATATGATTATAATTTGGGAACAGTCCTCGACATACTGAGCCTAGGCTCTTGTCGTACGTCTTCGACTATGGGGATTTGCAAGCATCCTTTTGTGATATTGGTGGTTGATGTTAAATCGAAGCGGTCTTTCATTTACGGATGGCTTGCGGAGCAAATGACTAATTATGGTCAGAGGTCATCACACAATAAAACAATTAAAACATTAAATGAGAAGGAGTTGATCAGGGGGTACGGGTCAAATAAATACTAAATTAAACAAATAGTGTTATTTAATTTTTGCCGACGTTTCGACCCACCTTGCAGATCTTTATCAGTGCTACAAAAGATACAAAACATGGTGAAAATAAAATAAATGAATATAAGCAGATATAAAATAAGAAGATGAAAAGATGATATCAGAGATATAGTGTGTGACAATGCTGTTAAAATATCAAGTATTATATATGTAGAAGATACAAACGAAAATGGGAAATAAGTATGAATAAAAATAGAAAATAATGGAGAATATAGCATGTAAGTTAAAAGTAAACAGATTGAGATAAAATATAAAAAATGAGTGTATAACAAACTAATAAAGATTACATTTGAATACTGTAGGTTAACAGTTCTGTTAACTTTTGTATCCCTGATGAAGACCTGCAAAGTGGGCCGAAACGTCTGCAAAAATTAAATAATACTATTTGTTTAATTTAGTATTTATTTGATCGCAACCCTCCCTCCCTCCCCGATCAACTCCTTATCCTCATATTATATTAACGGTCAACCATCTCTACATCATTAAAACATTAAATGTATTTTCCCTAATACACCTGATATAAATAGTGAGAAATCCACAATAGCTGTCTAGAAATGCACAATGCTGGGAATAATAAAAAGAACGATATGATAGCGACATAATATTGGTCTTATCAGGTGGATCTTGGCCAGGGGATTGTTTAAAAATATAAATCAAAACTAATAATCAAATTATTAAATATGTTTCTAAACTATTAAATCAATACCGAACAACAATACACATTTTTTTTGCCTTCTAAATATTTTTGTTTTTTTATAAACTTTTACAGCGTGAATATCGATATATCGGCAGGCATTTTTTTTTTCTTTTTTCACTTATGGCACACTTGAGAATAATTTTAATTGTTATATATAAATTGTGGATTTAGTAAATTGATATAATATCAATAATTTATTGCAAGTATATTATTGTTCCATTGAACAGTAACAGCTGAAGTTGATATTGCTATTTCGTCAAATTTGACAGAATAGATTAATATTCCACGAAACAGAGGCCGCGGAACTATCAACTTGTGTTACACCGATAGCTGTTGTTCGTTACTGATAGTTGCAGTAGTATCAATTACACATAAGTTATTTATAGCAACTGAAACTTTAATTAATACTTAAAACTTTAAAAATGACCTATATTATCTCGAAATATATTATTTTACTAATAGTCCGTGGGACAGACTCCTTTTTATGAAATTATTAACAGACGCCTGAGAGTTAGTGAATAGCTTCATCTCATCCTAACCTACAAATATTTTATTTACTTTTTTTTCTTTGTTTTTGGCAATAATGGCTTCCAATTAAACAAAAATTGTTTTATTTGTTGTATTTCCAAATTACATGTTTACATGTTAACTTTTCGGGATATTTACTCCCATCTTCAGAACTACAATCCCAATGTTTTTTTGTTGATTCATGTATAAAAATTGAGTTAAAATATAAGGCATGTTACAATACATGTCAGAATTGGGTTGTTACATTAAATTTACAATTACCTTAAATCTAATGTGCTCCATTGTCAGTTTCTAAATTCATGTTATAATAAATTAAAGTATATAATATCCTGAGCATCGTCATGCTTTTGGACCAATGACTTGGGATGTCTGCATGTTGAATACAATTGACTTTGGTAACTTAACTTTTTTATTGAATATTATAATTCTATCACATTGAAGGGTATTAATATTAAGGCTACATGATTCATTCACACAATATGTACATACAATTAATATCAATAATAAAGAAAAAGAAATATAAAAAAAATAAAATAAGTAAATTGGAATGCCTGTGTACGAAAAAAAAAATGAAATAATAGATAAAAGCTAGATGAAATTAAAGTAATTATTGTTGTTAAACGTATATTTTTTATGTGGCTGAAATTTCATTTTTATTAAATTTTAATTTTGTTTAATATATCAGCATAATGTGTTACTAAATCTTTGATGTCCGTTTTATAATTTACTGTTGTTCTATTGTTTTTTGTGATGTGTATGGCTTCAAGTAATTTTCTATTGTTGTTTTTTGGTTCTGTGCCTAATATTGGTTTATTGAAGTTGAATTTATGTTGCAATTTTATGCTGTGATGTTCTAAAGCTGTGTGTTTTTACAAATATTTTATTTACGAAAATTCTCGGAATTTGAGCGTTTTCAATTTTGGATACACATGAATGAATCATAAGATTCAAGGACATGTTGCTACATATAATTATTTTTTAATAATATAAACTTAAGATGTGGCAATATACTTGTGTACCTACTTCTGGGCCTTAGCTAAGCCATATAGTAGAATTTTCCTATTTTCTTAATTAATTTTAGTTTAAATATTTTATTCATTCAGGTAAATTAATTATTATTGATTTTGAATTTATTTTTGCCTTTCAAAATGATGGGAGAGAAGCGAAGTAATGTACTCACCCCCATCAATTTATTAGGGAGGAAGGGACAGCGCCCCCCTCGCCTTTCCATAGTCTGCGCCTATGACTTCAAGATCCACTTCAAGTCCAAAAACGTACCATATTCGAGATAATGGAAGGCAAAGGGGTTTGCAGCCACCACAGGTGGATCGGAGGAGGGAGCTTACGGGCTCCCGAAAATGATAAAATATAACCATGTTTTATAAAAAAAAATATTTTAGAAAAGTATTATAGTTCGTCTGATTACCTTTAATTGGACCTCAAGAATCAATTAAACATCATTTCATATATGTAGTACTTTTTCTTCCAGAGTAATTATCATAATATATATTTAAAAAAATCATATGGGCTGAAGCCTCCCCCAAAATTAAATCCTGGATCCGTTAGTGGCAGCCACACAGACTCAGGTTAAATGTAATGCTGCCATCGGATATCTCATGTAGTCGACTAAGTTCGTAGGAGCGAGAGAGGAGTTTATCTTCATAAATTATTTTCCAACTTTTTTTTTTTTTGTCGGTACGCTATATCTTTTCATCAAATGCAATCCTTGAGCCATAATTTTTAACATATCTTTCTTAAGTTGGGAAAAAGTCAAATTAAAAATTCATATTGAATATTTAATAGTTGAGTGTTGCATTATAAAGGAAGGAGATGGTCCGGGGTGGCGGTCCTAAAAAGGCTAAATAGTGGCAAAACTATTTCATTAAAAGCCAACGTTTCGACCCGACTTTGCAGATCTTCTTCAGGGCTAGAACGGACAAGATACAAATTTTTATCTTGTCTTGGCTTTTAATAAAATAGTTTTGCCACTATTTAGCCTTTTTATGACCGCTATCCCGGACCATCTCCTTCCTCTAAAAATTTATAGTTTTTAGTAAATTTTTTTTTTTAAGTAAGGAAAACTTCTTTAGGAGCATTTTGCACTTTTTTTTTGTAAAGAGTGAATTAGATTGAGCCATCAGCTCTCTGATGTGTAACGCTCAGGTAAAGTCGGCTGAGGTCGACTAATTGGTATGTTTTTGCATATGGATTAAAATATCTGAAAAACTAAAAATTGGACCTACATATTGTTAGAGAGGAAAATGTTCAACATTTCATCCTCTATGTAATGAGCTATTGTTCAAAAATTTTTATTAACCCGATGAGGAAAAGGGAAGAGAGAGAGGAAAAGGGAAAAATAGTGTCGAAAACCAAATCGATAACGAGTTTTATGGAAGATATGGATCAAAATATCTCAGAAACTAAAAATACTGTAAGAGAGGAAAATGTTCAACATTTCATCCTCTTTAAAATGAGGTATTATAAAGAATCCAGAATCCATTTTCAGAATAATGGAAAATATGTTTTCCTTATCCTTCAGATTTTCAGTTTTTGTTTTTGAATTAAGTTTTTATCATGACTAGTTTTTTTTCTTCTTGTATATTAATGAGCTATAGCTGAACAGAAAAATAAGTATTGTAAGATTGAATTTATATGAAATAGCTTATTGAATCTCTTTTTAATTTTTATCTGTATATAAATTATAATTTATATAAATAATATAATTATAAATTATATTTTTCAAAGAGAAAAGTTATTAATAAAAATACCAACTTTCAGATGATATTCAATGCAGAGAATATATTCCGTGTTCCAAAAATGGTAAGGTTGAAATTTAGTTTGATTTAGACTGTTAAGACTGTTTTTAGTATTAAGTTAAATCAATCAAAAGAGGGAAGTATTCTAATATTTTTTTTTTATATTTTGTTATTATATTTCTTTATTATGCAAATATGAGATTTAACATAGCAACTATGTCTGTGTGAATTTGAGAAAACGATAACTAAATACAAAATCTTTTAATAAAGCATTACGTCGGTAAAGATAGATAAAATATAAAAGCTTCCGAAAATGACGTACTTCTTAACAGATATTCGTCCGTATGACGAAAATTCATTTCGTAAACAATCACCGATAAACAAAATGACGAAAACTCGTCATTCGTATAATAACAATAAGGCTTAGCTAACCCGAAGGTTCGATGCCGATACCACCAATCGATGTCCACAATCTTTCATCCACTGGGCTCCGTCCAGGGGTAAACCCAACCCCGCCAAATCAGCCTTAATTCGATCTTCCCACCTTCGCTTCGGTCTATCCCTCGGACGCTTGCCGGTCGGTACAGCGCATATTAACTTTTAATGAATTCTTTCGTTACTAAACCGAGCGATTTTACATGCCCATTTTAATTACCTCCACTTAATCACCTCAATTATATTAACGGGATACAGTTCAAGCAACTCAGCGATGTGTAACCGCCTAAATTAACCGGTTGACTCGTACTTTTTTGGTCCGAATATTCTGCCTACCGTCATTTGTATATTACGGAAATAATTTATTCTTATTATTTTAATTATAGTAAATTAAATTATAATTTGCCTCTGAAGGGCATTGGTACTAGGGCTATAGTATTCATTCACACAATATGTACATAACAAAGGGAGAAAAAATATATATATAAATAAAAAGATAAAGTAATATACAAGATAATTAAAACAAAAGATCAGCCGAAAAATAACAAAACAAATAAAACACATTCACACCTATGTACAATATTTACATTGGATCAAGGGACTCCGAATCAAGCTTTGTCCCCCAACTGTGGAAGCCAAAGCAGTACTCCAGGAGATCCCAGTGCTTCTCTCCCAGCCGCGTCACTGGTATAGTAAGCCAGTGGAGGCAGTATGTTATAATATTCAATACATAAATTTTTAAAAAATACCAAAGACAGATACAGAGACGCCAGTATTTTATGAATGATAATGCAAACATTTACCTGACGTTTAAAAACGTACCGTAAGAATATGTGTTAATATCTAATAAGAAATATTTATTTATTATTTTCATAATATTTTATGTTTTATGAGGTGAAAACTGTTAAGTATTTTAAGTATTATTTTTTTTTTGGCTATGTCCATTTTAGCAGATATTTATCCAATGTATTTTCGTTTATATTGGATTCATTATTCAACAAAATAATTATTATATACACATTTAATAATGGCTAAAATAACAACAAAAATGACATCTAATGTTATATAACCGTATATTAATAATAAGATTTGATGTTTTTTTTTACGTTTTTTAGGATAATAAACCAAATTTACCACGCTATCCTTTTGGTCGTCGATATGTAAGTAATTTCATTCATAAAATATTTGTATAGAATATAATTTTTAGAATAGTAAGAGGTGCTCTAATGAAATCTTTTAATGTTTATAACTGACTAGTAGTTGAAAGTGTATTGTCTGAATGATGATAATGAGTTTGAAACATATTGATGATACACTTAAATTTGTTCGCTACCCAAATGTAAAATTCTTGAAAACAATTTTAATCATGTTAAATTATCAGAAAGAAGATATTAATGAATCCGCTTTCGCAGTATAATATCAGTAAAATTTTAATAGATAGAAGAATTTTAGTCTAGTATAATCTGTTATAAAAAATATGCTATTTTTCTTTTTGTTTAACTTCGTTTCTTCACCCACATCTGTCAAATATATTGACGATCCGTAAGTCTGTTGGGAAGAATGATAGGAGTAGCATTGATCGACGTATGGGAGAGAAGTGGCCCAACGGCATCCCTTCCTATCTTGATTTTTATACAGATGTTTAAGCGAGAAGATCTTATTATACAGCTTATTTTAATACTTCTACGTCTGTTGCCGGACATTTGGATGTCGTGACTTTTTATGTGGTGGGTCATCCATATAGTCGTTAACTGTTGGCATGTGAAGGTCTTTATCTAAAATAATGTTTGTGACATAACATGGAGGTCCAGTTATAGTTTTGGAATGTTTGTAGTTTTCGCATGCGGATCTTTTTGGTTGCCCCGTATACGTGTGAAGCGTATGTTCAAATGGGTTTAGGTAGGTAAATGTGTTCAGTTTCTGTTTTGTTTTTATTTTTTGAATTTTTTCGAAGAAGTGAACATAATAACCATAGTCTTAGGGCTAATGTTTTTATTTTATTTTTTTAATATTTGGAACCCATGTCATTCTTCTGCAAAATGGCAGTCCATAATATTATACCTTATCTGTTTGAAAAATTTGGGTATTGTCGAGAAAAATAGCAGGGTATGTCTGATGATGAGTGAGGTGTGGATTATCTTGGTTGAATGGAATTTTACAAAGTTTACACCAATCATTTAGTTTAGTTGTAAAATATGTTAGGCGTATGTAACATTTTTACGTTTCGATAGAATTTGTTTAAATTATTTGTTATTTAATATTATTTACCATTGTACAGTCTTGATATGGAAATTGCATCAACCAGTAAAAATTTCACTAAAGCTCATTTTATTTTAAAAAACATCCTCTTTCATTTCAGGAAATTTATTATTTGATATGTCTATAGTTTGAAAAATACGCGTTCGATTTAATCTAAACTTATAGATAGTATAGAAATTAATTGGTATCAATTTCATTTAATAATTAAAGTTAATATAAGTAATTGTTAACAATATAATGGCTGTGAAATGTGGAAGGCATTGATCGTCTGGAGTCGGAGTTAGGTGAACGCAATATTTTTATGGGGTTATAAAATTTTAGGTTTTGTTCAAAAAGATAATTTATACTGTATTGTTTGGTCGATTCCAAACGTTACTGGCATGAAACTTGCTGCCTTCACTTAGATTTCGTGTAATTTTTAGTAAATTTAAATTAATTTTTACTCTGAGTTTGTATACAAAAAAAGTCTTATTCGTGATTGTATTTATTTCTATAGAACTTCAACTAGCTCTTCGTGTTCTCAATCTTAAATATAAAAGTTGTGAGAACTTCACACATATTTTTATATTAATGTTAATTCTGAAAAAACAAAAATTGAAATATTCTTATTAAGTATATATCACTACTGTTAGTGCAATGGGTCGTATGTAAATATTTTAACTTTTATTATATTTGTGCTAAAGGTGGCATTTTGTAGTCTGCAACTCATATAAGCAGTCTGCTACGATGGAAAATAGCATAAAGCAATAAAATATGAAATTATATAAATAAATCATAAAGAAACAATTAGTTGTTATGTTCTCCTGAAAATAATTTAATTTTTACATAAGACGTTTTGCACTAACAGTGGTGATATTAATTTTCAATATGCACTGGTTTTTTTTTAAAATTACGAATCATCAAATATACAATTTGCAAATGCAGAACTCTTTCAAATTTTAGTATTCAACGAACGAATGTGGTGAATATCAAACCCGTATATCTTAAGAATTACTGAATTTCCAAAAACGGCTTCTCACAGAGATTTTATTCTTATACGAAAAATGTTAGACCTTGTTACATTGATATTGTTTAGTCAATGCGAACGGTAAGGAGGCTATACTGACCTTACTTGACAGACGGTTTTTCATTTCATTTCAAACAATTAGAACTTGAAAACGTTCTATACTTATTACTTTCACTAACATATATATGTAATATATAGCAAGGGTAAGTATTGCGATCGAGAACATTTTTGAAGCTGAATTTTCAACGGAAATACACGTTTTGAGGTACCCTGAGTCAAAAGGACCAAGTCCCGAAAAATGGTCTGTGTTTTTGTATGTTAGCAGTCTAGCTCAAAAACGAAAAGTCCTACGAAACTGATATTACGTATTTAAGATAGGTATATGCCTTATATGTGACGGCAACTTTTTCGTTAAAATCGGCTAACCGGAAGTGCCACTTTATATCAACGCTGAAACACATTTTCACAATTTTCTCAAAAACGGCTCTAACGATTTTGATTAAACTCGGTGTATCATTGTATAATTAAGTGGTCTTTAATATCAACCAGGTCTTATCCCCATTGATGTCACTTTAAAGGGCTTAAATGCCCAATGTTCACATACGTCTTCCTCTAAAGTACCTTTAATATGGTTTATTTTAAAAAGATAATTATTTCGCATTATTCAGAGTTACAAAAACATGCTAAATATAACTTTTGAAAGAATTTGATAAGTTGATAAAGGAGAAAAAAAATGCAGGAAAACCTGCGTTGGTATAGACTGGAGCGCCTAAACGAATGTACCGATTTCAATGAAACTTGGCTAAATTCATTTTATCGATACCCTTTAAATTTATTTATATAACATACTTTAACGAAAAGAAGCTGAAAAAAAAGTTAAGAGGGATGGTAAAATTAAATTCCGAATAACTAAAAAAATATACACTTTTTTGGGAATATTGTTATAAAATGTTTCAAAGGTATTTAAATTGCCAAAAAAACAAAAGAAGTTTCATCGAAATCGAAGCACTATTAGTAGAGATATCGCGATTTTTAAATATTTTTACTTTCACTTACGTATATATGTAATATATAGTAAGGGTAAGTATTGCGATCGAGAAAATTTTTTTTATAATAGATTTCTATTTCTGTAATCTGATTCGGATAAATGCCAGTGAAGAGGTAACGCTGGCTATTGCTTTTCCTCATTCCTGTCACGGCAAAATCGGTCTCACGAGAACGACAGGTAAAGTGTTGGTTGTCAGAAAATAGATTGGCAGGTCTGGGTAAAGTGGTAAATTAAAAAAAAAATACAGGTTGAATGAAATGAAGTATTAAAAAAAATCTTGGAAATTTTACTGAACTTTTTTATTTGCCTCTGAATGTAATAAAAAATAATCAAATTTAAATAACCTACAGAAATAACTCTAGCAATTCCAAGAGGGATCTATTTGCATACATACATCAACACATCGGTAGTATGTTCGGATAGTGAACATGTCCGGGTGCTGACACGTACCTACCTATACGCAGGCCGAAACGTACTTGTCAGCAACCTAAATGCGAAAATACCCGACTTCTAAATCAAGTTTAAATATTCACAGAAGTTGATTTCACTTCAACACCCACCGGTGTATTTAAATAGATACACAACTGCATTTACATTAAATTGAGTTGAATTATTTCAGCATCCATTTTTTTAAAAATATATATTTTATTTTGTTGCACTGAGTTCATGACGTTGTATCCCTGTTGTTTCTAGAAATGTCTAGGAATTGCTTGGAAACTCCCAGCAACTTCATACCTTAAAGATTTCAGTGACTGACACGAAAAGACTTATAGACATATTTCTGTTCTACATATCATGAGTGATAAATATTCAGGACACAGTCTTTTCTATTTTTGTCAACGTTTCAACCCAAACATGTGGGTCATATTCAGGGCTGAAAATGTTTTTTTAAAATTACAATCAGAGATATAATAGTATACGACCACTAATTATAAATAATAAACTATAGTGATTAATGGTACATGAATCTTAACTAATATTGCAATATACATATTAAAATTAAATACGTAAATAGTTATACAAACTAAAATTAAAAAAATAATGTATATAATCTAAATTTATACAAAATTGTAATATTTTCTCTTACTAACCGTGGTTTGAGCACTCAGGGTGTTCAAGTACTGACACATTTGGTAGGTAAGTGAAAAGGTCAGAGGGGGTGGATTTCCCAGTTGTCCTTTTTCACAGTACAAATGGACAAAGTATAAATGGATTATAAACATTTTTTATTTTTAGTTTGTATAACTATTTACATATTTAATTTTAATATGTGTATTGCAATATTAGTTAAGATTCATGTACCATCAATCACTATAGTTTATTATTTATAATTAGTGGTCGTATACTATTGTATCTCTGATTGTAATTTTTAAAAACATTTTCAGCCCTGAAGATGACCCACATGTTTGGGTTGAAACGTTGGCAAAAATAAAAAAAAAATAATTAAAAAAGACAGCGTCCTGAATATTTATCACCCACGGAATACCAAATTATTTAGATGTCGAAAATTTCTATCAATTGAAAACTGATTCTTTTGTAAATCTATATCTCAATTCAAATTCACCGTAAACAACGAAAGGATCATTTTTCACACCGTATTATTTCTTTTTAGTAACAAGATGGACGAGTTATACTAATGGATCATCTGATGACTAATTTTCTTCCGATGAAATCATCAAAATGTTTTTAACAAACAAAACAGCATTTTCAATAATAATAAAATTACATCAACTGTAAAAAAAAAGTTTCTAAGAAATTTAAATTGAACGATTTCTGTAAAGTTAGAAGTAACTATAGATAAGATAACACTTTATGATTAGTTAAAGATTTAATCATGGTTAAGTCAAATAAAATGTTATTTTTATATTTCTATTATTATTATTGTTATTTTTATAATATTTTTTCCAAAATTTTACAGTTGTGTTGTTACAGCGCAGGATGATCGATATAATCGAACTTATATTACATTTATATATTTTTTCAGACATTTTTCCCATTGAATACAAATAATTTCGATAAGAGTAAATTGTTCCTCCATATAAACCAGTACCCGGTAAGTAGCTTTTATTGGATGTATAATATAATACAACATAAAGTCAAGAACATAAGTTAATAATTTATTATTAATTATTATTTTGAAACTATTTGAGCTATTATTCCGAAAAGAATTCTTGGAAGGAAGATATACACCCTTAGCTTAGAGCCCTATTATTAAGTGGATACTTGAATTAATTAATAGCTGTATAATAAGTTATATAATACTATATATTATACTAGTTGGCTCGTGCGAGTGATTCTCAGAAAATTTTCTTTAGTGAAGGAAAAGCAAAAACACATAGAAATAAGTAGATCCTATGTATTATGTAAGGGAGGAATTAATTGTTTTTCTTGGGTCGATTACAATATTCCATTTAACACAAAAAACCAAAATATTTGTACAAATTGTTTTGCCAGAGCCTATATCTAAAAATAGACTGAAGAGGTAAAATTCAAAATAAAGTTTCAATCATGAGATTTTCTAAATTATTAATAAAAGAATAAAATGTAAAAAAAAAATGCCTTTAATAAATAATAAAGCATATATCAGCAAGGAAAAAAAAAGGTAGTATCTTTAAAGGGGAAGAAATAATTTAGTATACCAAAATTAACGTACCGTATCTTTGTTAATAACTATCCGATTTTTTTTTTATTTTGTAGGTAATTTAGTAATCTTCCAAAAAATCATGGGTACCATCAAGAAAAAATACATACTTTTTGAGTTATGGGCAAACTAAGTTTTTATTACTTCATAACTTTTTTTTTCTAGAAATTTCGAGAGGATAAGACTATTTTGTCGGATGTGAATGAAAACAATATCTTTAACATCAGTAGTAAATTATTAGATTTCATGAAGAATTGACGAAGTTATGCCGTACCGACAAAAAAAAAAAACTTTCAGAAATAATATATAAGATAATATTTTTAAAAAAAATAATTCTAGACGAAATAAAAAAAAAAATCAGTTGAAGGAATTGGGATAGATTGAATTGATTTGGTATCGGGTACAATCACTATATCTCACCACTTTTTAATAAATATTATTTGCTATCATCTTTACCCATTAGGTGTCATGGTGTTTAAACAGTAATGGAGATTCAGAAATATAACAAAAATTCACTATTATGTTATAATATAATTTTCTCTTAATCGCCGATTTCGATTCCAAGGCACGCCTACCACGCGGGAGAGGAAAGGAGGGTAGTTAACTATAGTTACACGAAGGACCCGTAGTTTTTAAATTAAAATTAATTAATTCAATTAATAAATAATTTAAGAATCATGTATTCTTAATTAGGAGATACTTAATCTAAAAAATAAATCTGAATATTAATTGTGTCTTTATGATGTTGTGTGAATTAAAATGAAGCAAATAATACCAAACTTACCAAGTATCGACATATATAATGAATTTCCAACAATAAGGAATCAATATCGCCCTAGAGTAATTAGCAGTGCAGAGGTAAGATTAATATATATACATATATTATTCAAATATATAGAAAAAATATATAAACATATTATTCATGTTTTAAATACTCTGACATTTTATATCGTCAGATTCGTCTTTCCTTTGTTAGCAGAAAAGCAGAGCTTATTTTAAAGAAGAACTCGATATATTACTTATTTATTTATTTTTTTTCAAAAGTGCATAATTATAATTTTTCCCACTGTACGTATCCGAAGTCCATGGTACGTCTGTACCTTTTAATCGAATTATTAACATCCGCCTGAAACTTAATAAATAGTTTCTTCTCATCGTCACCTACAACTATTTTATTTACGAAAACACTCGGAAATGGAGCGTTTTCAATCTGGAGGGGGCCATACTATGTGTATTTAATTAGTTACTAAAAAACTCATAAATACTCATTTGCATTCTACTTCGATCGTAAGAGAATTTGATAATAAAATCGAGAAAAAGGTGGCCATAAAAAATATTGAGCCGTTTGGCGTGACCTACACCTCCTAATTTTGAAAATAACGAGGTTATATAGGACAAATGACCCAATATTTTTATAGACCACATTTTTTCACGATTTTGTTGTCAAATTATCTTACAATCCAAGTAGAAAGGAAATTACTACGAGTTTTTAGTACCTAATTAAATAGACAAAGTTTGACCCACTCCAGATTGAAAACGTCCCAATTCCAAGAGTTTTCGTAAATAAAATATTTGTAGGTTACGATGAGATGAAACTATTTACGAAGTTTCAGGCGGATGTTAATAATTCGATAAAAAGGGGCCTGAACTACGGACTAATAGTGTTTTGTATATAGATTTTTTTTTTTGTATATAGCTTGTTTAGCTAATATTTTCCTTTTTGTTATTGTTTTATTCAGGCCAGATGTAGTCTTTTAATTCTGTACTATTTTGTTATTATAAAGGAAATTTGTCCCAGTATAAAGTTATTTTCTATTTCTATTTCTATAATTGTATACTAAACATTTACAGAGAATATTTCAAAAAATGATTGTTAAATACCAAAATTACATACAGTTTATTAATTACGTTTTAAGGAAAATACTGACGAAAATATACTTGAAATTATGTATTATAGATATTTATTTTATTGAAATATTAAATAAACCCTTAAATTCAGAGAAAAAAATTTAATGTAAATATTTCTTATTAGTGTTGTATGTTAAAGGAATTGTTTGGTATTTCATTAACAATTAATTATACCAGAATATATTTTTGATATGAATTTATTAGTTTGTGAGCCTTATTAATTCATAATCCTTCGAATTAAAATGTGATATTTATGTATGAGTAATGTTGCCCAAAGGCAACACAGCTCATCTGAGGATTCAAGGATTCTTGGTATAAATATTGATCTTGCGTAAGAATCTTGCAGTTACCTATTAGCTTATTGCTATTTATTAAATATGTTACTTTAGATCTTAGAAAACCGCTACGGAATAGGTTCATTTAGATGTTTTTTTGGCCTAAACGTAGTAAAGACCAACCAAATTAATAAAATTAACTTAACAATACATTAAAGACTGTAAAAAAAAAATATATATATATATATATATATATGATGTTGGTCCCACACCTTGAAACGAAAGAGTTGCAGACAGTATAATATAATCTATACAATGTCACCAATTATTTTAATAAAAAATATGCTGTGCGTGTCCACTAGCATGACTTTCCTACCGGTTTTAATTTTGATTTCCAATTTCAAAAATGTTCATTAAAAATTACACAATTTAATTATCCTGATAACCGACCAGAGAAATTATTAATGTACGATTTTTTTTATGAACTAAAAAAATGTAAGCGGGCAAGTCAACAATTATTAAAATAAGTGTATAAAATTTAATTCACTGGAACGTTATTAAAACCGTTATTATCCGTTTTAGACGATTTTTGATTTATTAATTTCAATAATGCACCATTGTAATCGAAAGAAAAATTAAAAAACTTAACCCCCTTCAAAATTTGAGGTTTTACGTTTCGAAAATTCGAAAAAACGAATAAAATGTTTTTGTCCGTCCGCCGTCCACGCATTTTATCCGAAACTATGGGACCTATTTTTTTTTTTTAATTTAGTCAGAGGTCAACCGAGGATGATCCACCAACATCGGCGTTACTATTCACATTTTCTTTTGAAGATGGCGGCCGAAAAACCTGTGTTGCAATAGAGAACAGCTCTTAAAAGAATGTTCCGATTTCAATGAAACTTGGCTAAAGTCTTCATGTCGATGCCCTTTAGATTTATCTATATAACAAATTTCAAGGAAAATAAGCTGGAAGAAAAAGTGACGAGGGGTGGTAAAATTAAATTCTGAATAAATCAAAAAGTATAAATTTCTGTTGATATAGATAACCATATAATTTATATAATTAAAAGTTTACGAAATTGCCTAAAAAAAAATCATTAAAAATAAAAAAAAATCGGACAATTTGGAGCAATGATATGGTCTCTAGATGTTTTTATATTCTTTAATTTATAATGAAATTCCCTACAAAACTATATGAAAATCGTTCATGTCGGACAAATATTAACGAAGTTACAGCTATTCAATTTCCAATTTAAGATTACTGGTTCATCATATCCTGGTGTCAGAAAGCGGTGAATGAGAAAAAAAGATAACTAAGTGAAAGTAAGAAAACCCTTACCACCCCTAACCACTACAGATTATAGAGATATTAATGTAATTTTCCAAAATGGACAAACCTAACTAAACCCTGAATGAAAAAATTAAAGAATTAAAGACAAAAGTGTATTAGCTCAACCAATTCTTAACAAAAAAATCTAAATCTTTTATTTTATTTTTTTTTACCAGTCTTGGTCTTATACTTTACAAGACCAAGATTGATTTTGGGCAACACTACGTATTGCTAAACGTTATACTACGTATTACGTACTCTATAGAACGGCTTAATCATACCATTTATGTACAATAAATAATTGAATCTGTATCTTTTTTTAGAAGTGTGATGTTTTTAACATTATCTTAGTTTCGATCATTTCATAGCTTCGCACTATTGCCCTGTCTGGTATAATAATATTATAAAGATTTTTTTTTTAATGCGCAAATTTATATAAATCCATTGTCAAAAGTTTAATTATTTTCCTGTTGATGTTATTGTCCTTTTATACAAAAGTAAACCTTTTGAGGTTTCTTTCCACTTATCTGCATCCATATCTATTGTGTCTATGTAAACAAAGACAAAAACCATCTGGTTTTTGATCTTCCACGTGTTCTTTCAACTTCTATTGAGGTGCTCATTGTTCTGTGCAGGTTTCCAGATGAATTGTTCTGAGCGACATGACCCGCATATCTTAACCTCCTTACCTTAATATTATGAGTTATTGATTGATCAGTTTCTGTCAGCAGATCTTATTTTCATTTCTTCTTCATATGTTACTCTGATCCCAGATAGCTGCGGTTACCGTGCGGAGGATTTTCCTCTCAAATCTTTCAACAATGTTTCCTAGGGTGTTGGTTAGGGTCTAAGTCTCATATCCATATGTTAGAAATGGCATTATCATAGCACTGTGGAAACTTAGTTTAAGATTTATTAAGATTTTCCCGGATTTTAATATTTTTGAAAGAGATAAGAAAGCTCTGTTTCGAGTATGTTATCCGATAGTATATTTCTGACTGTCATTCATTGAGATGATTGTGGACCCGAAGTATTTGAATTTGCCTGCTCTAGGGGAAGTTTTTAATTTTATGCAGATCCTGTTATACCTGTTATTAGGGTGGGATATTTGGCTTATTATGATATAGTTTAGTTTATATTAATTTAATTTTAAAGAATTTATAAATACTACTATATTTATAAATTAATTGATATTTGTAAATTTTCTCAGATAGATCCACAACTTAAAGTTAATGGAACAATTACCTTAGAAATTCCTACCGAGAGAAAGAAAAGGGAAAACGGTTTGTTCACATTAAAAATTCCTTACCTAATTCAGGTTAGTTTTATTTTTAATTATTTATACATATAAATAATTTTTAAAATTGTTTTGTGTTTAAAAATAAAAATGTATTATGTCAGAGTTAATAGTGTTCTACCTCCTAAAGTGATTACTTAAAACTTGAGTTGTCGGATTTGTTGGAGAAATCCGGCTTAAACTAATCCTTCCTTAGCCGTTACAGTTTATTATTTCTAATTAATTGCTCTTGATTTTTCACAATATTATTTTCTCAAGTATTTCATCAAGTATTCATATTAACTAAATTATTTCATAGAGATCATTTTAAGATAAGATATGACGAATAATTTAAGTTTCATAAGAAAATCGCTTATCCTTCCTAATTCGAACAATATAGGTTAACCAGAAGTGGCCATATTAAAAAAAAAATTAATATTCAAATTAAAATTTGAAAATTGTATTAATAATAAAAATTAGGGATGGCCGATATCTTGTGTACAGATCACCAAATATAAAGGCAACAGCAAACAAAAATATCTTAAAAGACTTTTTAGTCCATGGTACAGAACTCTTTGCATCAAATTATTAACATCTGCCTACTTCGTAAAAAGTTTCATCTCATAGTAACCTACAAATATTTTTTTTACGAAAATTCTGAAACGGAATTGCAGCATTTTCAATCTGGAGGTCGGCACTTTGTTTATTTAATTAGGGAATAAAAAATCGTAAATACCCATTTTCTTTCCAATTTAATCGTGAGATGATTTGACCACAAAGTCGAGAAAAAAAGTGGCCTTCTTAAATATTGAGCAGTTTGGCCTATATAACCTCGTTATTTTGACAATTTGTCGTTGTCACGCCAAACGGCTACATATATTTGTAGGTTACGACGAGATGAAGCTATTTACGAAGTTTCAGTCGTATGTTAGTAATTTGATAAAAAGGGGTCTGTACCACGGACGATTTTCTAACAACTTGAGTAGTGTATACTTTGAAAAATGAAGGAAACTCGTGCTTAATTGAAAACTCTATATCGAAGATCAACATGAAAATAGATAAACACACGGGTTTTCCCACAAGAAACTTATAGTCCAGTAAAATTAGGGATTCATCCCAATATTCAAAAAATTAAAAACAAAACTGATTAGAAATTGTTTATTACTTTCCCAATAATAACTGGTAAAAAGTCACAAAGTATCCCGCGTCGGGTTTTGATGGGGGAACGGAGGGGACGAAAGACAGGAAAATTACATTATTTTTTTTTTATCTTTTTAAGAATATCTCGAAAACTCTGTTTTTTTTTTTTTTTTTTTGCAAAGATTGCAAAGTATAATGTTATAGGTCTCAGCGAGTACAATACTAATTCAATATAATATAATGGTTAGCTTAATAGTTAAAACTAATAGTTAAAACTGTTAAAATGGAAATATATATTATAGCAGTGCATGCTAATTACTTATTAAGTTTAGTGCAATTGAAATAATATAATAATAATATTAATGCAATCATCTTTTTTAACACCAATGTTGAAATAATATCTTTATTGATTCGATCTATCCATCTGGGTTTTGGCCTTCCACATTATATTACCTTAAGCGTAATAATAATAGTCTTATTTAGCCTAATATTATTTTTGATGTTTCAATGTAATATAAAATGTTAACATTTAAGACTATACTAAACAGTTTCGCCGTTTTCGTTGGTGAAATTATCATTTGGTTCATCATAAAAAGTCTGCTTAATTTTAAATTGTTATAATATTAACAGATTAATGTAACTGATGCTTGAATTTTTGTTTCACAGAATGTTCTCTCCTGTAGGTCAAGTTATCCTCGATGTCTATCAGACAAAAAGGTAAGCGAACATTTTCTCAACATTTTACATTATTCAAGAAAACATTTAAGTCACTCAAAAAAATCTGACTGATCATTCTTAATTAATGACAACCTAAATCATTTCATTAAAAATGGGCCAGATATTCTTTTTAAAACCATTCAAGAACCACTTAAACATCATTTAATATAATTTCCTTCATTTAAAAGTTCCTTATTCTTTCTGATTGTTTGGTTCTTTTTCCTCAGTCTGACTTCCTCTTCTTCTCCACAGGAATCCGGAATTCAAAAATGTCTGTATTCAAAAATCTTTCCCAGATATAAACTGCAATATTAAATCTTTTGAGTACTTTCTTTATATGGTTAGCATAAATGCACGGTTGCTATACTTATCACGTATTTTTTAAGTTTTTATTAATTAAACTTAGTCAACGACAAACTAAAAATTTATTGAAAAGTTAAACGATTGAGATAGTTTTGAGGTCTTAGGGCAACTAGGGTTATAGATTTTTAATTATTATTTTCTGTTTAGATTTTTGATGAGAGCTATGTAAGACAATTTAATATTACTTAAACACTTATAAAAAAAAAAGAACTGGTATCTGTTAGAACCACCCAGTATCAGACTATCTGTCTGTATTATTTTTGAGAAGTGTTCTTTTGTCGTTCCGTTAAGTATCTTCATTAATTCGAATGCAATGGTTTAGCTATCGTTTTGAAAATTTACTTCTCCTTTATGTACGAAAAATAATCTCATCCCCCAGCAAAATTAGAAGAAATTTTTTTAGAAAAGGAAAAAGAAATTTTACTTGCTTTGAATCCGGCTGATTGTTGGTAATTATCTATTCTGTTCCATCGGCCGTAGATCAACCCTGGGGTCGATAGACCTTCCTGGGGCACAACCAGCCTCTATAAAGTGGACCTTCTAATTAATTAAGGGAGGAAACCGGTGGTTGAGCGTGATCTCGGTCAAATCACGCCCCCTGTACAACCAGTATATATAGTACCAGTTGATACAGTTCCTCCTTATGAACTGAATCCAAGGCCCTTCAAGGAGGTTGTGGTAGTAAATTTTTTTCTGTTCTTTCAATTTTATTTTATTTTTTATTCAAGAATGAATCATAAATCATAGTTATTTTAATTTTCCATTTTTTAAAAATAACTTTATTCTGTAATCATTTTTTTAAAAATCCACTTTTGCTTTGTAAACTGTAAACTATAGGTTAAATCGCCTCCCTGTAAAACCGTTTAGATTTTTTTTTCATGATTGATTATAATTTGAAATGTTTTTCACAACCAACTAATATATTTAAACTAGAATATTTCTCAGTCGTTAGAAAAGGTAATTATTTTTGGTGAAAAGCGATTAGATTAAACTTTTTTTTTTTCAGTGTTATAAAATTGTAGAATTATAATAATGCTAAATCATAAGAAATACTTATACCTATTGATGTTACAGTTCTGGCCTTTACTCGGAAGATATGAGCCATCAGATAAAAAGAAACTGGAAAAGAGATCGCACGAGGTGAGTTATACAGATTACCGACTAGAAAATTACATGTTTCAATTGACAATAAATTACTGTTCTACAAGACGATCCTGAAACCTATTTGGACCTATGGACTACTACTATGCGGGACAGAAATTTTTTTCAACATCAAAATTATCCAATCCTTTCAGTCCAAATATTTTTTTTTAGTGGGTGGTGAAAGAGGGGAGTTAGCTTGTTGATAATACACATGATATCCTGATAATTATAAGTTCGAGTCCCGGTGCCGGGAGCATTTAACTCTGACAGAAAACTCATCGCCATCTCCTCTGGCCTGGGAAAACCCATAGAGTACAAAACGCGAAGTAATAGAAATAAAATTAATAACATAAAAAAAAAAACGTAAAACGCGAGTGGGTATTTTCTATTTTAAATGTACATTTTTTTTTTTTTCCATCGGTGGGTAGGAAGCAAAAGGAAAGTAAGAATTTTACAAATACCTTTTCCATTTAAGATAGATAATAAAACTCATAAATATTTTCTTGGTTAATTTTTTTTTTTGTCTATATTATTGATTTTTTTCTAATTAGTCTCATTAATGATTAAATTGATGATTATTGAAGGTTAATTTATTTATTTGCTTATTATTATTTAAGATTACTTTATTTTTTATTATTGAAGATTAGTTCTTGTGATGTTCAAGAGCCAAAGTTGAAGCGAGAAATCTGGCCCCTCCTAGGTGGCTATAATCAAGTTCCTTTATCACAACAAAAACAGATCGAAAACGGATTGGCGGTAAGCAATGGAAATAATTAGTTTATATAATATTTTCTTTAGAAAAATATAATTATTTTCACTTCTAATAAAATATATATTAAGGGATAGTATGTCGAGAAGTCACATGGAACTGAAATTGTGTATTTAAGGAAGGCATACATACCTTAGGCCTGTGATATAACATATTTTTGGCTAAAATCGACTAAAAAAAAGGGCTACTTTATTTAATCGAAAACGACACAGACTATATTGATTAAATTCGTTATATCAGTGTAAAATTGCGAAGTCTTTAATATATTATCCAGGAGTTGAAACTTTTATAGTACTTTTTTAAAGTTCTATTTTAACAGTTCCTGAGAAATTATTTAGGAAAATTTTCATAAAATAAACGTTTTAAGGAACTTCTTTGTAATAAAGTTCCAGGTTTATGGTAAAAGTAAAACTCGGGTTATTGAAGCTCTTAAACAAAGTATTTTTAAATGAATTTATAATTTCTCTTTTTTATGAATTGCACATGATTCCAAGTTGTCGTTTGTTTGAATAGCTTTAGTTACGGAATGGACTTAATACGTAATAAATAATAATATTAATTTAACTTTTATTTTAATAATTGAGTTTGCTAAATATGCCAATTGGTGAATCATGTATTGTATTGACAATTCTCATAACTCAAAGGATAAAAGGACAAAGCTATCCCTGGATACCCAGGCAAGCTATCTCTGATAGCATAGAACTAGTTATCTAACAAGACCCATTATCAAGACTTAGGGAACAATAACAGATTTCAGCAAAAGGTCCTTTCTCACGGATCTCAATACTAAAGGGTAAGAATATAAATTTGTAATAACTTCATGACTCCAGCCATTTCCCAGGTCTTCCTAGACCTCCCAAAATTCCTTCAATTCCCTACTATTAAAGGATATATAACCCATATGATCCTCTGGACTAACCACTCTTGCAGTTACATTCTTAAAGTCACACTCTTGTCCGAAGACCTGGAGTGAACTCTTGTAGTCAAGCCATCCATTTATAATATATTTCTGTACTTCAAGATGCCATTTGTAACAGACATTATGAATAAAACTATTACTTATAAAGCCTCCGATACGTTAACTTAGGAATAAAAGTAATTTTTAGATCGACTTTTTAGCAAAATAAAAAGAAGTTTTAAAATACCTTTACATGCAAGGTAGCAGGGGGGAAAATTGCAGTTTCAAAATAATTGAAAAACTAGCGACCGTAAAAATTTCAACGAAACTTTTTTAAAAATAAAAGATTTTTCCGTTTAAAACTCTGATCTTGTTCTCATTGATTTAGCTCAACAAGGCTTAAGTTACCAAATTTCCAAAAGTCTTCCTCTAAAGTACCTTTATTAATATGGTTTATTTCAGAGAAATAACTGTCTCTCTCGGTCAGTAAGAATGAGAAATATTCCATATATATACTATAAAGCGATGTCATATTTAAATCTAACTCAGGCCATTATTATAGGTTCCAGTCCTATTCTTAAATCCATCTCCTTCCTTCCTCCTTTAGTCATCAAGGATCATCCTGTCATCTTCAGTTCCTCCGTTAAAAACCTAGGAATCACCATAGACGAAAACCTCTCCTCGAAACCCCATATCGCCCTCATCTCACGTAATTCAATAGGTACCCTTAAGCTATTTCTTCGCTCCCGCCACCTACTCTCACAACCCATCCGCAAGCTCCTTGTACCTTCTCTCATTTTCCTCCACTTTGACTACGGCTGTGTGGTGTACGGAGGCATCCCGATGGTACTCGAGGATAGATTGAAGCTACTCTAAGATTTGTCTTCGGTAAATCGAGGCGGTCTCATGTGTCCCACCTTTACGAAGAGTGAAAGTGGCTCTTTCCTTCTTCCCGCTGACAATATTTCCTTGGATCTTTCCTATTCCAAACGATCAACACCCGACACCCTTCCTACATCTACAGTCTCCTACAGTTCAAACCCGTGGTCCACTCCCAGAAAACAAGATCCCGCGTTTCCGACCTTTATATCCCTTCCCATAGAACTAAGACATTTGAATATTGCTTTATTGCCTGATCCACTGCCTTCTGGAATTCCATGCCATCTGATATCCGCCATGCCTCTTCCTTGTCCTCATTTAAATATCATCTTTACCGATTCCTTCTCACATCAAAAAATGACGTTATGCAATGAACAAAATATTGCAAAACAGATTTTGACTGAGGTGAATGATTGGTAAAATTGATTGAGTTTTAATTTTTAAAATCATCCCATGCTTATTTTATTTTGTTTTCTTTCCATTTAAATAATGTTTTTTTTTATTTTTTTTTTCTCAAAATGGTGTTATTTTACCTGTTTTAATATAATTTCACTGAAGATACTGTATATATTCTTTAATATTGACTAATATTATTTTTGGCCAGATGTAGTTTTCATTTCTTTTGTTCATATTTGTTATTCATAAGGGACCTCGTCCCAGAATAAAGTTTACTTTCTATCTATCTATCTATAAAGCCCACTTTGAATAGTCCGTTGTATATACACACACACACACACACATATATATATATATATATATATATGATCCTTCAGTAGTCTGAAGGATATGATGTAACAATTATATTGACATTTGTACTATATATGTATATATATATATATATATATATATATATATATATATATACTATTATATATATATATATATATATAAAATATTGAAAAAAAAATGGAAAAATATTTTTCCAGGCTGAAATAAAATTTCGGGAATAACAGTACTAATTACTTCGCTTAAACTACATATTAGAATAATAATTAGAAATAATTAAGTCTCACCTGTTTAACAGGGATACGAAATGGCTAAATAGATAGGATGAGAATATGACCAAAGAAAAAAAAATGATAAGCATTTATCTAAGTTTAAAGTAAAATTCCGAAAATAATACATTAATTATTAAGGTTTTCCACACGATTGAAAAGGTAAAAATCTGGCGCACACTACACACAACTTGCATTTATCTTTCTACTTTGAATAGAAATTATTTTCTAGCAATGCTGAGCAGTTGTACAATTTTTGAAGTGCACTTTTAAGGGAGCTATATCTTAAAGTTTATAGTTAAGGTTGGTAAGGTGGATTTTAAATACTTTTTTTTCAAACTAAAAGTTAACATTTAATAAGTATATTAAATAAGTATATTAATTAATTTTGTAATTTGTAATAATTTTTGTTAATAAGTATATTAATTAATAAGTATATTAATTAATTATCATTTATAGTAAAATAATAAGTAAGTTTACATTTAATAAGTAAATTTCATTTCCTCCATTTTTCAATTACCAAATCCTTTCAAAAGGTGTATTTAGAATTGTTTTTCTAACTACTAACAATAAGAGATAGTTAATTATTTAAAATAAACCAAATTAATTGTACATTAGAGGAAGACATTTTGAACATTTAAGCCCTGTAAAGTGAAATAAATGGAGATAAAACCTCAATGATATAGCTTAATTATACAAATTGAGAAAATTGTAAAAATGTGGTATAACCGTTGATATAAACTGCCACTTCTAGTTAATCGATTTTAACGAAAAATATGTTGCCATATCCAAAGCATACGCCTATATTAAATACGTAATAACAGTTTCGTACGACTTTTAGTGAAAGTAAATATTTTATAAAATTAGTAAATGAAAAATGAAGATCTACTTCAGTATTAGTGTTGCTCGAATGCGAGACCAAGACGAGTCTTAGTCTTACGCAAGTCTCGCAACAGTCTTGCAGTTACCAATTGGCTTATTAATATAGTGATATTACTGTAATTTTTTAGATTGTGGGAACCTAACTATGCCCGAATGAAAAATTAGAAGAGTTAAATGCAAAATTGTGTTTTTTAATACAAATTCTTTACATGTAGTAACTAAAATTTTCAAGTATTAGTAACTATTTTACCTTAATTTTTATTCCAAAAATCGATTTTTTTTTTATCAGTCTTGGTCTTGGTCTTACAACAGTTAGGCGGTGTTGGTCTAGGACTTGGACAACACTATTTAGTATGTAGAGTCCTTTCTTTCATGCGTTAATCAATGATGGTACTTTTACATCTTAAATTCATTAGTATGTTCTTAACGTATTATAACATAATGAAATAAAATTTATTATTTATGTACACCTGTAACGGTTATTTCTCAAGTTATAAAATAAATATAATATTACATTTTTGTTGAAAATTTATAACTTATATACTATTATTGGAACTGATAGTGATAAATATATTTTAGGATCACCTCTCACCTGTACTAGCCAGCAAGAGAAGTAATGAGATGCACTTAATTAGTAAACTGAGCGAGATGAAAGCTAAGGTATGGACAGTACTTGTCAGTAATTAGTTTAAAATAATTATTATAACTTGGTGGTCCGTGGTACAGATCCCTTTTTATCAAATCATTAACATCCGGCTGAAACTTGGTAAATAGCTACATCTCATCGTAATCTACAAATATTTCATTTACGAAAATTCTCAGAGTTTAGGCGTTTTCAATCTGAAGGTCGGTAAACTTAGTCTGTTTAATTAGGTCCAAAAAGTTCGTAAATACGCATTTGGTTTCCACTTCAATCGTAAGATAACTTGAGCACAGAGTCATGAAAAAAGGTGGCCTTCTGAAATATTGAGTCGTTTTGGCTATATAAACTCGTTATTTTGAAAATTTGGGGGTGGAAGGTCAAGCTAAACGGTTCACTATTTTTGAAGGCCACCTTTTTTCTTGATTTTGTGATCAAGTTATATTAGGATTCAAGTGGAAAGCAAATGTGTATTTATGATTTCTTAGCACATAATTAAATAAACAAAGTTTGTTTATCTCTAGATTGAAAACGCCCCAATTCCGAGAATTGGTAGGAGAATACTGCCCAGTGGTAGCACTCCCTATTGTAAATTTTAAATTATAAAATATCAGGCGCTGATAACTAAGACGTATTTGACTCCCTCAAATCCTTTGTTAAAATCAACAAAAAATAATTTTTATCATAACTTACTACTTTTTTTCTTTCAAAATTTTTCAGAAAGGGGCGTTTTCTTATTAATTTAGTTTATTAATTAATTTAATGAGGAACTAAAAACTCATAAATACTCATTTGCTTTTTACTTGAATTGTAACCTAATTTGATCAGAAAATCAAGAAAAAAAATGTGGTCTACAAAAATATCGGGCATTATGTTTATCGATCTACAGATTTAAAACGTTCTATTTTAAAAGCAGGTTACGATAAGATGAAGTCATTCACGATGTTAATAATTAATAATAAGTTAATAATTTTTAAAAAAAGGATCAGTAAATAATAATAATAGGCTTAGCGACCCCGAAGGTTCGATGCCAGACCACATCGCTAACCACACCTCCACGTCGCCGTCATACCAGCCTCGATGGCTTTAATGCAATCTTCCCACCTTCGCTTCGGTCTACCCCTCGGACGTTTACCATTAGGCACATCAAATATTAACCTTTTAGGAATTATTTCGTTACTAAGTAAAACAATTTTACAATTATTGTTATCACCTCAATTATATTAACCGAATAACTTTCACGCAATTCGGGGTTGTGTAACCGTCTGAACTCTCCGGTTAACTCATCTTTCTTCGGTCCAAATATTCTGCGCAATACTTTATTTTCAAAAACCTTAAGACGTTGCTGATCCCTTGATGTAAGCGGTCACGTTTCGCATCCATAAAGAACTGTAGGTAACATAATGGTTTTATAGATTCTAGTCTTTAAATTCTGGAAAAAGATGCGCGAGCTAAGTAGTTTTGTCACACAAACATAACAAGCATTTCCCGCCTTCAGCTTAACCTTAATCTCCTCTTCAATTTTGCTTTTAAGTTATCTTCGACCCTAGATACATAAACTTCTCTACGTGTTCAAACATATTACCAATATATCGATATTACCGACAATATAACCATTTTTGTAGCTAACCATATATTTAGTGTTATCCGTATTTATTTCGAGTCCTAGTTCCTTACCGGATTTCATTAAAGTTTTCATATATAGTTTTATAGTTTCCGTGTCTTCGTTTATCAGGACAGGATCATCCGCATAGCCAATTACGGGAGTGGTCCTACCTAGATCCAATCGTTTTTCTTTTGAACAGGCGAGAGGGAATCATCCTGTTTTAAGCCCGAACGAAACTCAAACTTTAAATTTATTTGAGATAAATTATTACCGATTGTAACTTTATTGAGTTTTTCCGTCAAGAACATTCTGACTAGATTTACTTATTGTTTTGGAATCCCCTGTTCGATTAGAATATTATACAGTTTCTGGCGGTCAAAGAACCATAAGTCTTATCGAAATCGATATACAGCTGGTGAACAACACAATTGCATTATTTTTTAAATATTTGCTTGAGCTATGGGGCTCCACCAAACCTTCAAATTCCTCTCGCATCCAATCCTCACAATCCAAAATCCTTCGTAAAATCCTCAATGCTCCTTACTTTGTAACAAATTTAAATCATCCATAATGACCTTAATGTTCCTTATGTATCAGATTTGGCCCTATCCAGATATCTGTCCTTCCATAAAAAAACTTCATGACCATTCCAACCCTCTTGTCTCTAACCTTGCTTCCTATTCGATTCCTGATAACCCTTCGAGGCTTCTGAAAAGACGATGGCCACGTGATCTTCTAATATAGACATATTATTAGAGTGCTACCAATGGGTAGTTTCTCAATATGTGTTCCATGTCTTTATACCAATGTGCGAATTTACCAGATGTATTTTTGTATACAGTTGTAAATATCATATAAGTAAATAATAAAAAAAAAAACATTTGCCGTAAAGAAAATATTTGATCAATAGTCAAACGGTTTCGTCAAAATCCGCATTGATAGTCACTGATAATTTATTTGGAGTATTACGTGTTTCGATTTATCTAAAGGGTTCTGTACCACGGATTAATATGTTCAGCTGTCTTATTTTTTCCATACAGAAGTTTATGTATCTAAGGTTATCTAACAGTAGCTCTTTTCTTATTATTTATTTAAAATAAAATTCGGAAATGACATGAATATTTAATAAGGTTCAGAAAATATTCAATGAAGCCATGAACTTAATCAATGAGATGTATAACTTGCATCGAACGCGGCCGGCGAAGCTAGACTATGTTATCTCTGTTGAATGCACTAATGAAGTGCATGCATCTGCATCGCTATGTACACATTGTACAAAGGCAAGGCCATTTCTAAGTGGACAATGCTAATTATTGTTATCTGCATTCTTGATCAATGCAACATAAACATTGATAAAAGAAACATAATTAACGACACGAATCAATAATTTATAAAAAAAAACGTGTAACCCACAAACTAGGCTAAAAAGACAAGAACTCAACCGACGATACTGCCAATTATACAGACTACTGACTAGAAAATCTCAACTTTCAATTGACAACTAATTACTGATCTACAAGACAATACTGAAACCTATTTGGACCTACGTACTTAAACTTTGGGATACAACAAAATTTTCTAACATCAAACGCATCCAATCCTTTCAGTCCAAAGTCCTCCGAACAATAGTCGATGCTCCGTTCTATGTAACCAACAAAACCCTACATCATGACCTTAATATCCCATTTGTTCTCGACCTTATCCCTGAAAATTTTTCCCAATTCCATCAGAACCTTATAAATCATCCGAATCCCCTAGCACAATCGCTATCTAATTTCATTCGTCCCTACAATCCTCCTCGAATGTTGAAGCGGCAGTAGCCCAGAGATCTTTTGTAGTATCTTGTAGTTCTGGCAATGGCCAGATTCTCCACTCAAGACATGAGCGTATGTGGCTAAAGCGCTCTCGCTCAAACACCACCGGCTTTAGCACTAGTCACGCGGTTGAGAGAGTAGCGCAGGGATCTCTTGGAGTCCTGTTTTCCTTCTATAGTTGGGAGGAAAATCCTTGCTTGGGGTTCCCTGCCTGATTGTATGTATTGTATATAGGTATGACTGAGTTCTTGTGTTTATAATTTACTTATCTTTAGGTTATTTTTTTTTTTTTATTGTACACAGTTTTTGATTATTATTTTACTTCTGTTAATTTTATATTTTCTGTATATGTAGTATGGATGTGTTCATATACCACTATAAATATTGCCCACAAGACAGATTGTTATATAAATAAAAAAATAAAATAATATAAAAACATTGACGATGATAGACTGCGTAGTCAAATCAAGAAAACAATTTAACGGTTGGGAAATCGTTGATTGTCAGTGAATTAAATACAAAGTATTTTAGTTTTAGTCATTCATAAAGACTATTCAAAGACAATATAATAATATTATGATAATAAAAATTAAAAATAAAATTAATAAAATTCACTGATTGCAACCATCAGGAGATTTTTTAATCCAGTGTCATCATCAACAAGTATTTACAACATTTTTATTTCTTTGTCTCTCTTTCCTCGCTTTTTTGTATTTAAGGGGTTTCCGAGGCCAAGAGAGCGGGAAATCAATGCCAGAGTTAAAAGTCCATACGGCACTGGGATTTAAAATCGTGATATAAGGTTTATCAAGGTAGGCAATACGTGTTTTATACAAGTTTTTGAATCATCGGCCACCCCGTCCACCAACATTTTTTTTTTAAACAATAAATAAAAAATAAGTTTCAAGTGCAGTTGTTGCGAGAAGCCTTGGTGTTGTGTTTTTAAAATATATTTTATTACTGATTCGCTCCCCCTCAATAACGTGTGCATTGAAAAAGTAGTTTCTAGATCACTTTATACATTGTGTAAGCGCTTCAGGTTTACTATTAATATTTCAAACGAAAATGATTGGTCCATTTAAGTTATTGGGAGTGGAATTATCAGAATTATCAAAGAATTTGAGAAAAATCTTACCCCGTCTCAGGTACTGACTTCCGAAGATCAAGGCAACGGGTTCGTATCCGGCTGATGCCAGGCAATTATTTATTATTTTCCATCAGCCGTGGATTGATTAGAGTAATTGTTTATATGGACAAATCTGGTGATTGAGCGCGATCGTGGTACTTTCTTACAAAGCACTGAATCCAAGACCCTTTATGGGTTGCAGTGGTGTAGGGAATAGCGATTACGTTAGAAATTATAATAAAGCAATTATTGAACTAGGTGACGTGGTGCCCGAAGCATATATAAAGCTGGTGGCAATAATATTTAATTTCTATTGTATATTGGAAATTCAAGGTTAAAATTTAGTGCATATACATCCTAAAATACTATAAAATAAACGCTAATCTATTTATTTTTAAACGAATAATCAATAAATCAGTCAATGTTTAAAATTTTAAAAAATTGTATTTGTTTGCTATTTGATTAAAGTTTGCTTAAATGTTTCTATCTGTTTACCTCCAAAGTCAATTTTTTTTTGTTTAAACTTTATTTTTACATCCACACTTATCTAATACATCATTGACAATCGGTGGATTGTCTGGTAAGATTAGTAACAAAATAATAATGCCATGTAAGGTAGAATTAACAAAATACCTAGCGATATCCATGGCATTATTTCAGACTCTAAATATTATTTACAGAAGGTCTCTCATCCATGACCTTTTCAGCCTCCTCGTGATTTTGTCAGGCGTGTTAGTATTGGCTATTATTATTAGCACATTGTCATGTCCTTGTAAATTGTCATGAAATCTTTTGTTGTCAACATGTAACACAAGCCAAGTTAACATCGGTTTGAGAGTTAAACAAATGTCCACTATATAGGCAGATCAGATACATCTATTAACTATGAAGAAAGCAAAGAAATTTTAAGATCATACGGGCATTGAAACTTTTTAAAAATTGAAATACTTTTTTTACACAAAAAATATACTTATATCCCTTAGCTTCTTATTATTAAAAAAAAAAGTTATTTATTAAAGTAAATACTCGCACACTCCAACTAAATTATATATATATATATATATATATATATAATATATATATATATATATATATATATATATATATATATATATATATATATATATATATATATCAGGAGAAAGTTAAATTAAATTATTGGAAATAAGGTATTGGCCTGAAAGCAGACCGTGTCGTGAAAACAGTAATCTTTTAAACCGGATGGGGATGAGGGCGGAGTTGGGATCTCCTTCCGTATCGGCCGCTCTTCAATTATAAACTTCCAATTCCTATTTAAATGTCTTCTCTCAAATCCCCAATCATTTTATTTAGCCGAGGAAATAGGAAGGCGGGGGTTAGTAAAAAAAAATTACGGCATGTACCTTTTTTGAGTCGCTGTACATATTAAAAAAAAATAACAAAGAAATTTAAGAGAATAACAATAAACTATATTAAATTAAAGAAATAGCATTATGATTTATTTGTATACTGTTATAAATGACAAAGATATTTTCAACGTATACAGAACGTCCCGTAAGTAATAATCATAAGAATAATAATGCTTTATTTATTCTGGAACGAGTCCCTTTAGAATAATACAGAAAAACAAAAATGCGGGCTAAGGTGCCTCAGAGATACATAAAAAAGAATATAGTTTAATTAAATAGTCAAAATAAAAAAAGAAATTATAAGTTACTTTCTAATTTAAATCAGTTAATAATAAAAAAATTGAAAATAAACATGAAGAACGATCTAATAATTTATATACATATTTAAAGTAGTAACTATTTACAATTTTATGAGGACTGGATGGATAAGAAATGATTAAACAGGCGGGATTTAAAGGTAGGAAATATATTGGATTGACGGATGTGGGGAGGGATGGAGTACCATAGGGATGAGAATCAGATAATGAACGATAAGTAGATATATTTAAATTAGTGGTTTCAGAAATCAGAAACTACAAAAACGTTTATGTAAACAATGGTCCGATATCATCAGGAAGGTTTGTGTTAATAATATTTCAAGACGTGATAACTAAAAAACTATTTAAAATTATTCACGATTATCTAGACACAATTTACTTCAAATGTATGTAGAGTCATTGAAAATAATTCTGGCAATCAGATGATTTCTTTATTTGAAACGTAAGTATTAGAATTAAAAACATTTAGTGAGTCACTTGAAATAAGGAGTAATTTCTATAATAGACAACAAATGATGAGGAAATTTCATACTAAATATTGTCTTATTAACTTTTTTTTCTTACACATCTTGAATTTTAGACTTCCGCTATGAGTCTTTTAACAGCTTGTTGGTGCTGTTATAGACAACAATAGTGATCGTTTGGTTCTCTTCTTCAGGATATCCAGGAGGCACGTGGTTTACTAATTGGACGCGATCACAATCAATTCCTCTTCATCAGTCACTTTCCTAAAGGATGGTTGGCAATCTTTTGCAGTAATCTCCAGTTCTTTATGGGATAAGAGATTACCAGCCTTATACCCAACCCCCGACCAGTAATATATATATGTATATACAGGAACATAATTATTTAATTGGGAATCAGGTCAGTTAATAATTGTTAAATGAACAACAAAATGTTCATTGATTCTGCTGTTTATTCGACGTTTCGGTCGCGTTTTTTTTTTATTTTATTTTTATATATAGTAAAAATGGGGACCTCCTCAATTTTTTTGAACGTATGTGGCTTTAGTGCCCTTTCTCAGTCTCCACTGGATCCCCATCTCAGTGATGCGGCTGAGAGAGAAGAGGAGATCTTTTGGAGTCTTTCCACACGTGGGGGAAAGATCCTCTATCTAAGTTAATATCTGTACTAGATATTAACTTGAAGCTCTCTCAGCTGACTGTAAATGTAAATAAGCATGAATGATATTGTTTTTTCTTATTTATTTACTTATTTTTTATTTGCGTTGTATCGTATTTTATTTCATCTCTTTTACTAAGCTTTCTTTCTCTTATTCTTGATATAATTTTTGTAATTGTATATACTGTATGAATGAGTTTCTCACATCTCAAATACTGAATGCTCTTGATTGAGACAAAATGTACTTTTTCTCAATAAAATAAGATTTATTAAATTCTTCAGTGTTTTATAAAGAGTCTCAATACCTCAGGCCAGTGACACACCTATAGTCTCAACACCGTCCACTAGCACACATATTAAGCTACAGTAGCTTAATATATGTGCTGGTGGACGGTGCTGAGGTTGTCGGTGTGTCCCTGGCCTCAGGTATCGAGGATATATTTTAAAATATTGAAGAGGTCCCTTGTGTACTTCCTATTTCCTAACTCTTGATTGGATTCGGCAGGAGCACATCGCCGAGGACAACAGGCTGGCCGAGATGCACAAGACCCAGGAGGCGAAGCGGGACTTCCAGGAGCGGATCGCTGAACAGCTGGACCTGCTGTCGGAGGCGAAGAGGGCAGACCTGAGGGCGAAGAGGGCCTTCGAGAAGGTGGTGAAGCTGGAGCGAGGTTTGTCCGAGCAGGATCGCCAGCTACACAGGTAACTCGTCACTCACCTGTCTGGTTGCGCTGTGGTTCCTCATAGTCCTCGCGGTTACCGAGCAACTTTCATTAATTTGATGGGTCGATACTATAGTTGGTAAATCTGTTGTGGAATCTGGATCCTTCTATAAGAATGTGCCATTCTTACAAAGTTGTTTTCTACTCGATGGCCTAATAGTTATCATAATTGAAAAATATTTATAATAATCTGTTAACTTTATTGAACTAATGTCTGTGGTGAGGTAGATTAGTAGGAGACAAGTTTACATATAATAGTTTAATAAATAATGAGGAAAAAAAGAATAATAATGTATGTAATGTTCAAAATAGTATGGAAAAAATTGTTATCTCTCTGACCGAAACATCGGTCATTATAACACCTACAGAAAAACGCTTGCAGAACAGATCATAAAATTGTTATGGTATACATAATATTATAAAAATATTAGGCCCGTTCGAAAAATTTGCACAATATAATGTTATCAAATGTCAAATTAATAACAAAATAAAATAATGCAACGTATCAAAAGATAGAGAAATCATATGTTATCGATAAATATAATCGACTCTGAAAACAAAAATTAATTTAAATCTTCATTTTTCTGCATCTTTGCTAAAAATTGTCCGATTTCGATGTGTGTTTTTTTCCTTTTATAGGGAATTAAGTAATCTTTTATATAATTGTGGAGAAGTGTATAACTTCGCAAATAAAGTTTGTTTTCTTTCATAACTTGTTTACCTGAATTTTCGGGGTGATTGGACTATTTTGCCCGCCTGAAGGAGAAAGAACCTTTCGAAATTGGTGACTCAATCTTGAGATTTGGTGAAAAATTAACGATGATATGGCTTTCTGATAAAAAAAAAAAAAAACTATCGATAAATAATATAAACTCCTCTCTCGATCATAGAGACCTCAAGCCGACGAAATGAGACATGTATTCAATGACAGTACTACAATTAATGTAAGGTTGTGTGGATGTGAACCCTATGCCTTCCTTTATCTCGAAAATAGCACGTTTTTGGGCTTAAAAACGAAGATCCGGTTCTTACTGTACGCATCAAAATCTTCAAGATCCAATTTGTCCCGTATCGATCTACAGATACCACCGTTCCAGTATTGAAGCCTAGCAAAATGTTTGTATCGACTTTATTTATTTTAGAAAGAAAAACAAAAGTGGAGAATACGATTCGCTAAGCTCCCGTGAAATTCTGAATCCAAAGGTAGCCGATTCATGGTATTTGAGCATGACAGGAGCTTATATTTGGAACAAAACCGATTTCGAGCCTTACTGTAATAATATATGTGGGAGATAAATATTATACATAGTGTCCAGTAAGTAGAAGGAAATATGCGAATGGATGATAGTCTGTCTCAAGAGCTACAAAAAGTTTATAAAAACAATGACCTGAATTTAAACTGGAAAAACAGGAAATTATAGTTTTGTGTTTTTCAAGTATTATTGTATAGGAAGTCATAACTAAAGAACTATTCCATTTAAGTACTTATTTTCGATTTTTTTTTATCACACTTCAACTATTCAACTACATATACCATTTTAGTAAACTACCACACTTTTAGTAAAACACCCAAGTAAGCTTTTAGGTCATATTAATTAAATTGAGTGTTCATTTTTCTTGAATTAGTTTTAAATATTGGTACCAGCAATTTTTTTACATACAAATATCTTATTCGGCTATATTTTTCCAACATATACACTTAATCACCTTCCTCCGGTGTAGCGCTGGCATTAATTCCATGATCCTTTCTATTTCTCAAGTGCTGCTAAATTTCCTCAGGTTAAAAGAGTTCGAAGACCAGCTCTACGAAGAACTGCTCGAGTCGGAAGCTGAGGTGGCGCTGGCGGACATGCAGATCATCCCCAAGTTCATCAACGAAGAAGATCTGCAGGAGTTCATGGCCGGGCCAAGGTTCGGTTTGGACTCGCCTCGCAAAAAATAAATCATGGCTGTCTCATTGTTAAATATCTTTATTTAATGAAAGTGAAAGTGCATTGCATCTATTAAATGCTTTTTATGTTAAAATATGTCGTTATTATTTATTATAATAATAAGATATCACAAATCCGCCAGGCTCTTCTAATACATCAGATTATTTAAAAACAAGTAAATTATTATGTATTTTGAAAAGGAAGCAACGTATAATATATTTTGGAATATATTTAAACATGTAATGTGCAATAATAAATGACTTTATGGAAAAAAAGGCATAAACTAGAGACCTCTATTGGTTCAATTTTATATGAATATTAAAAAATTTTGCAAATTATTATGATTTATTATTTTCGAATACCATGTGTATGTTACATTGTATTCCTTTCCCCATTTCCGAAAAATTACCTCCTCATAACTTTTGTATTAATATTTTTTTTTTCAATTAAAAAAAAATAATCAAAATATTTGTATGATGGTTGACTGTAGTTAGTAGTGCCCAAAATTGGTCTTGGTCTTGTACTTTGCAAGACCAAGACCAAGCCCGTCTAACTCTTTTTAAAAATAAAAATCAAGGCAAAATGTATACTAATACTTGATAATCTTAATTACTATATGTTAATAATTGGTATGACCAATATTCTTTTGGATTTAACTCCACTAATTTTTCATTCGGGCTCAGTTAGGTTTCTCCTATCTAAAAAATTAAAGTAATATCTTTATAGTAATAAGTTAATAAGTAACTGAAAGACCGTTGCGAGATTCAGGCGCAAGACCAAGACCATGACCAAGACTGAGTTTGCAAGACTAAGACTCCTCTTGGTCACGCATTTGGGCAACACTAACTGTTGTGAATAATTGAAGAGAATTTGTTATATATTCCTTTCATTATTATTGTTTATTTTTTCATAAGTTAATGGTTTCTCACATTGTGATCTAGTATTTTCTTAGCCCTGATGAAGGCCTGAACTTTGGGCAGAAATGTGGGTATATATAAAAATAAATATAATTTATTTACTTTTGCCTGAACAAACCAACCAACTTCTCTTCAATAAAAGAAAAACTCAATTATTCTACAAAAACAATCTAAACTATTTCCTAAGAAAAAAATATATTCAGCTATAAAATAAAAAGAAACTGACATTGCATATAAAAATATTTGTAAGTTAAAAACACCACATCTCCTGCATCAAGTAGTCCGATTTGAATTATTTCTTTTTTGTTTTTAGAAAATTTCATAATTTTTCCAACCATAATAAATACAAATATTTTTTGAAGTAATCCACAAATAACATTCTGCTTTAGTCGTAACATTTTTCTTAACTCATTTTTGGGAAGTATGTTATATACATGAATTTATAGGGCTTTAAATAAGCCATTTGACGCTATAGCCAGTGATACTGATTTTCCGGCTGCCATTTTGAAACGATAGGACGGATGGTAATGTTGAGTTTGCAAGTTCATCCTAAAGGTACCTCTGACTTTGACACCGCATTTCAAAATAATTGGCCTATACGAAAGAAAAGCTGCGGACGGTGGACAGAAACAAAAACGAAAGGATTTTCGTAGTCAACGTTTCGTAAAACGTAAAAACTCAAACTTTGACGATGAAAGTGTAAACATTTTGTTTTTCTTGGTGGATTAAAATAGTTATCAATAATGAATAAAAAAATAAAATTTTATCAACGTAAGTCATCATAGAGGAATGGCTTGTTATCTAGATTCCCAACTTGTAATCTTATTATTAAAAAAAAAAAAATTGTACATTATGCTCATATATGTTGTTAATACTATATAATTGTATATTAGTTTTGGAAAATTGTCTTTAGCGATTAATAAGTATGCTGTGTTTAAAGCAACCCAATGTAATTGGGCAGCACCCTTTTAAGATAATAAAGTGATTCTCTCTCTTATCATTATGCTAATATTGTAAGTGTTATTATTTCCTTGTTAACTAATGTTTTACTTATTGTTCGAACTTCACTCAAATGTTGAGGTCTGGGAGTAATAATATAAACTCGACGGTCTTTTTGAGGTTTCCCAGACCAACGCAGAACTTCATCATCAAGTTTGACATATTTATTTTAACGTTTAACTTTTAATTTATGCTGTTATTTGTGTATTATTTTAATGATTACTATGTTCTTAATGTATAATATTAGTGGTATATTTTATTGTGTAAAATTTAAAATAACTTGCCTGATCTTACTAATTATTATTCAGAGAATACAAGATTTTTCTATATATTTATATCTATCTAAAAATAAGATTACTGAATCTAATTAATAAAAATTAATCGCAATAAATAAGTAAATAAATGTATTACTTCTTTATAAAAACACTATCGATAAATAATATATAAACTCCTCCTCTCTCGATCATAGAGACCTCAAGTCGACGAAATGAGACATGTATTCAATGACAGTACTACAATTAATGTAAGGTTGTGTGGATGTGAACCCTATGCTTTGCTTTATATCGAAAATAGTACGTTTTTGGACTTAAAAACGAAGGAACCGGGTCTTGCTGTAAGTATTACTTCTTTATAAAAAAAAACAAAAACTGTCCTGTTAGAAAATATTAAATAACTTTTTGTTTTATACTATGCACAAAGTTAATAATATTTTTTTAAAAAATGGTTAAAGCGAATTCAGCTCTAAAAGTATACCTGTACATCGGAATAAGAGAAGAAAGTTTTATTATCATTTTTTTCTCTTTCAATAACAGAAATTTCCTTTAATTAGAAGGAATATTCTCTGAGATATACTTTCTATGAATCCTTTATCCATTTAAACCTGGTTTATTCTCGGCTTCGTTCGACCAAAAGGAGTACATTTATTATTTTCAATTTTTTGTTTCAGTCTCATTGTAAAAATGACCGGATTTAATTAAATTCAGTTTGTTACCAGTTAAGAATATTTTCGTTTTGCTTTATTGAATAATACTATAATATAATATAATATAATATATATATATATATATATATATATATATATATATATATATATATATATATATAGACGAGATGTTTTGCGTCTTATTATCCTTCATAGCTGCTTATCTTGGGTTATTGCTTTCCAGTTATTTGCAATCAGCACTATAACATTTTATCAATTCGATTTATCCATCTGGTGTTTGGTCTTACACTTTGTCTCATGCTTAATATCGAGCATTTATTTTTATTTAAAGGCTACCAGATAGATTAATCTGAGCTCCATATCTCGCCCATCTTAACCTCCTTGCCTAATGCTGGTTTCTGTGAGCAGATCATTATTGACCAATCACTTCTATTTGTTATTATTCCTTCGAATAATAACTCCAGATCGAATCTTTTAATAATACAAAAATATCAAAAAGACGGGGAAACTTTATTTTTTATATGTTTACTTTAAAATAAAATAATATCATCTAACGGCGGACCAGCCCTCATTTTACAAATTATACAACTATTCATTTAATTGTACTACTCGATGCTCAAATTGTATAAATTCAATTTACATGCATTCTGTAGTTCAATTGTATTATTTTTTATCAATTTAAAAAACAATTTTTTTATTTTTTATAAAATTCCCCTACAAATTTTTGTTCTAAAACCTTTATCAGGAGAGTAGAAGGTAACAGGAGCTTAACATAAACATAATTAAATGAAAAACTGTATAATTAGTAAAACGCCGTACAACTGTTAACTAAAATATTAAAATGAAATAAAATATGAAAGTCACTAAAAGCTTTTTTATATAATATTGTGATTAATAAATGTATTAAAAAAATAAAAGGAGTAACATATAAATGAAATTAAATTTGAATAAAAATAAAACAAATTGTCATAAACATAGGGAAAATATTCAATGAGGAGGTTAAATATTTGATGAACCATAAAAAAGTTTATTTAGACCACGGTTTATTTCAACGAAGGAAAAAAATAATTTCAGTATTTATATTATTTTTTTTATATTGTATGAAATTTATAATTAATTTATACATCTGAGCAAGAGCTAAATAATAAAAAACTACAACTATGACTAATATATTCTATTTGCTTTTTTATTACTATAAGATTTTTTTTTATTTAAGAATTTTAAAGGACTCTTCTAAAGAAACGAACTTAAAACTTTTTTTTAGAAATTTGCTAGTACTTTTTTGCATGAAGAGTATTTTGGTTTATGTAATTTATTATACAAATGAACACTTTTAATACAACAAGCAATATATTTCTTTCATTAAAAACAAATCTGTATATTTTAACTTTGAAATCCAAGCAGAGCAACATTAAAAAACGAATTTTATAGTTTTATAATTTTTTTTCTTGGCTATTCTCATCGAAATGAGTGCTGGGACACGTATATAATATTTTTCGAAGTAGTATCATAAAAAGAAAAACTGAACTCAGTGACTCACTGATTTTGACCTCTCCTTATGATTACAAGCAAATATTGAAAAAAATATGTATTATTTTATACTTTTGTCGAACTATACTGAACATACGGAAAATTTTGCGTCGCGATATGGTAATAGTCTACATTCCATTCTGGTAGGCCGCTAAATACCGTCATGGCTTCCCACTGCATTCCATCATCCTTGATAGCTTCCATGTCCACTAGTTAATTAAGTATTAAAAAATAAGAAACTAATGAAAATGAACTTTATTCATATCTTTTTTTATGCTTGATGATATTCATGAATGAACTTCATTCATATCATTTTTTATGCTTTATGGTGTTCATGAATGAACTTCAATCATATCATTTTTTAATCGTACTTCGGTACATCCATTTTTCATTTATTGAAATATCAATTTTTACTTTCAGTTGTCTATATATGAAATATAGAGTAACGGAAAGTATTAAATTAATGAAATATTTCGAATCTAAGGTTTTAATTCAAAGGTGAACTCTAGAGTTCAAATAACTAAGTCTGAGTTTATGTTAAATGTCTAGCTCAAAACCAATGAGTAGTAACTAAATTTAAATTCGTATTTATAAAAACAATTCTCGTCATAATTGACTAATT